CCTATCCCAGCTGACTCAGGGTGAAGGCAGGTTCACCTGGACAGGTAACCAGTCTATCACAGGGCTACACTTAGAGACAGACAACCAAGCACACTCACATTCACACCTACGGACAATTTACAATCACCAATTAACCTCAGCATGTTTCTGGACTGTGGGAGGAAGCCGGAGAACCCGGAGAGAACCCACGCTGCACGGGGAGAACATGGAGACTCCACGCAGGAAGATCCCGGGTGTCCTCACCGGGACGCCAACCGGCGACCTTCTAGCTGTGAGGCCACGGTGCTAACCACTGAGACACCGTGCAGCCCCACATGCATAGTAGCAGGTGAAAGTGTTCCGGTCCAACTACGGCCTGAAGAGTCCCAAACATGTCATCCATCCATCCAGCCAACCTCACCGAGCCCTTCAGAGACACTGAGAGAACATCCCACAGGCAGCATGTCCAGCCTCATTAACCCGTCATGGATGTGCAGCAACGCAAACGGCTGTCAAACTCTGATCCATGACCCCATTATCATTTCCAATATAGCTGGTTGTTTCAACACTTAATCCCCTGTGTTAAAGACATACTGCATGCTGCGTTTGTATTTTTGTGCAGCATAGACTGATTAGCAAAAACAAAATCAGGTGTACACGCATCACATGTTTAGTCAGAGGCGAGACGTTCAGAGAACCTTCTTACTACTTCTGTTGTTGTTTCAGTCATTTCAGAAGAAATGTCAGTTTTAGGAGAAAAGGTGAAAACTTGGTGAGTGATTGAACCAATTTCTGCAGATTGAATGATGACGTTAATCAAATAATCAAGACCACAGTAACAGATGATGTCCTGAAGTTAAAGAGTGGAGACAGAGTTGGCAGCTTTGACAAAGTGAGTTCAGGTCTGTCCAAAACGTTGTCAGACTCATCAAAGAGGTGAAAAACTGTTTCTGTATCATGTTTTAAAAAGGTGCCAGAGATTAGCAATGTCCTGCTTTAGCCGCTATTTATAAGGTCCGATTTGTTTCTTCAATTTTAGACCTCAAGAAAACTTGGCCTCTCAGCAGAGCTTCATTCTGTCTTTGGCAAATATTGTTAAATATGTTTTAAGCGCTTTGAGAGGGGGCCAGTGAGTCTGAGCTGAGGTTGCTGCAGTCCTTTGAAAAGTGGATGCTGCTCTTCTGTTGCTGTGACAACGCCTCAGGTTGACTGAGTCTCGCAGCAGCAGCATCTCAATGGCCTTTTTTAAAGGTATTTGCTTCATCATTACTGGACTGTGGCTGCAAACCTGTCGACCCCAATCGTCTGCAAAAATACAGCTATATCCAGGGCCGGAGGAAACAGCATTATGGTCTGTTATGTCTGCCTTGTGGAGTCGGCGGAGGGGGTTGAAAGAAAAACAATAGCCGTGTGTTTTTGTTGAGCCGACTCTCGGAGCGCACCGTGAACTTCAAATTGACCCGAAGCTGCTCCCTCCTCCGCCGCAGGCCCGAAAACAAACTCCGTCTCAGGCCCGTGTTCCCAAACACCGGCTAGTATATCTCTATACCTTATCTGAAGGTGATAAAGGGGAAGTTCAGCAGTTAATAAAACCCTAGCATCAGGTGTGGGTTATTCCAGGTGTTCTTTAGCTCCAATAGCAGCTGTGACAGGAAAAGAAAAATACAGATTCTGTCCTTCCTGCTGATGCCCTTTCAGTAAAGCAGCAGGACTGAAATGTTCTTAACCGTGTGAAGAGGTGATCTCAGGAGAAGCCTGGATTCAATCTGAAGCCGGTTTGACCGAGGGGGTTAAGCTGCAGCCTCTCCGTCCCCTCGCTGTGCCGCCCTTCTTTACAGTCGCTCAGATAACATCGAGTACAGAGATGGCAGCGTGATTACTTTGTTTTTAGCCTCACAGGTTGGCGCTGGAGCGCCGATGCCGCGAGGTGGCCTCGCATAATAAGTCAGAGCGAGCCGGAGAGCCGCACTCTGGGGACTGTGATTAACTCTCACCTACTCCAAAGAACAGCAAGCCATTACAGAAAAATTATTTCTCAATTTACTTTCTGGGCAGGCTTTGAAAGAGAGTATGTTTCTGGGAGTAGTTCCAACATAAACCAGAGAAAAATGTAGATGCGCCGCTCCCTGTAGGAACTGAGGAAGCAGTGCTCGTGTAAATAATGTCTGGAGCAGCGTCTTGTATCCTCTCCATTAGCTCGGTGCAACCTCCAGCCTGGTATGTGGCGGCTTTGTCTGTCTTTCTAAGAATCTGTGAAGGAGTTGAGCAACAGAGTGGGTTTGAAAGTTTAAGATAAGAAGCGCTGTGTGTTGATCAGCCTGTAACTGGACCATTAGATCAGCCGTCAGATCAGAAGTAGAAAAGTACTGCAGTTACTGTAACTATGCTAATAGAAGCAACAGTGGTATTAATAACAGGTTAATGGTAGCAGTGGGTAAAGTTGTTCTTGTTTTCTGTCATATTAAATAAGTCTATCACAGTTAGAGACAGACAACCAAGCACACTCACAGCCCCGTTTCATTACTTAGCTACTAAACTGTAGGAAGAAAAAGTATAATTCACATGTTAAAAACAGGCCAAACCTCATCAATAATCTGTATTTACAATCTTTTCCACCATTTGACTGTAAATTACATGCTTTTTTTAAAAATTATTTTTTACTGTATTTAAATCAGAATTATTATCACTATTATTTATTATAACATTTATTGTTATTATTATTGTTAATAATATACATGTTTTTTGTTTTTTTTTAAACCAATATTTGCTGTTATTTGAAAGATTAATTATGTATATTCGGTTTGAAAAATTGTCAATAATTTTTATCTGTTTTGGTAAATTACAGACGATATGTAGTGAAGTCAAAAATGTTTTCATTTACCTGTTGATTAATAAAATTTAAAAAGGCCAGAAGTGTACATAATGACACTAAAAACCTGCTTAATAGTAATTAGTTTTATCACAATGTCAGTTTAAAATTACACCATTTTACTGCATTTAAATCAGGTAAAAATATCAATAATTTACAGGTATTTGCAATTTTTTAAAATTTTTATTTTGTTTATAGTATTTAATGCTTTTGAACATGAATGTATGCAGCATTATTTTTTTATAGCGTAGTATTAGTAGCATTAGGTGCAGTACTTTCATTTTATTTCAGCTGTGTTCGTGTTCATATTCATCATTCTTGTATTTTCACGTGTTTTTGTCGCTTCTATCTATTTTTTAAATGAAGAGTTTGTCCTTTTACTGATATTTTTGTATGAGATCATTAGCTTCATGAAATCAGTACCATACTTGCATCTTATTTTATTTATATATGTGTTTATCTGTTTTCCTACATTTGACCTGCTCTATGTAAGTTTTTTTTTGTTTTAGTGTCATGACGCCTCCATTTGTTCACGTTTAGGTTCAGTGAGGCTGATATTTGCGGCGCTTACGTTTCCAAACTTTGCTTTCTTTTTTTTTAAATTTTCATGGCGTACATCCTTGAACCTGAAAAGCACAGTGTTTTATCTTGATGTCAGACTCTCATACATGTGAAGCAGATCTCTCTCTGGCTCTCTGTTACCAGCTAGCATCTCTATTCCCACAATAAATGCTTTTATTTACTCTCCCTGTCACCAGTAAAGCTGAACAACTCCAAATGTTCTCAGCTCCAAATCAGGAGCAAGAGAAGTAAAACCTCCTGCTCATCATTACTTCATTAGCCTCCCTGGCTGGATATTTTACACAGAAGCGTGTCAAACAAAAGTAGAGTTTAAAAAAAAGCTGCTGGTCGGCCTCGGTTTCGGCATTTTACTCTGAAGTTTTCATCCAGTTTTTATGAATCTGAGCTCCTTGAGGGACAAAGGGACGCTGATCTGAGGCAGGCTCTCTGACGGAGGCTGGTGAAGGCGGGCGTGGAGTAGATTCACATGAAAACCTCGCCTGGCGCTTTAATTAGAAGATTTTCACACTCGGCGGTGCTGTGACAGCTAATGTAGCGTGTGTAGGTGTGATGTATTCTGGAGCCTGTTCATGTACAGTGGATCGCTGCACTATGAATAGAGTCTGTGGAGTACTTTGTTCATGCTCACTGCCTCCTTGACTCATATCAGTCCTTGTGTTGCACCGCTGGGTGTAACGGCCTGGAATTTATGCAATCAAGTGTAGCGGCTCCAATGCTTTTATTTCAGTCTCGTCATTCATTTGATCTTTGTTCTGCAAAGTCCGTAACTTTGGGAATCCTGGAGAAGGTTGAGTTGTTCTCTGAGGTTTTTAAAAGCAGCTCTATGTGCGTGCAAATGCAATGGAAGAAATCTGATTGACACGTGTTGTGGTTTCTCACTTTCAGTAGATACCAACATGGCACGATGGCAAACCACACACACACACACACACACACACACACACACACACTGTCAGAACAGGGCGTTCTGTTGCGTGCGTTCTGAAAGCAGATTAAGTAATCTGTGTGTTTCGGTTTGAATAACTCTTTCCCCTCAAGTCAGCAATAAGCATTTACATGTCCGTGCTTGATTTAAGCTCATCAGCGCCACTATGGTTCCTTTAATTGTGTTTTAATGGTGCAAACAGTGTCCTGATGTTTACCACAAAGTGAGCAGCTTCACATGAGCAGTCTGTTTGCTCAAGGACTCACCGTGCTGACAAATACTTGTCATGAATAGAGATGGTTGCCATGTTGACTCATGGCAGCCGGGGACTTTCTGCAGCAGTTGATTTATGTCTCGGTTTTTATTCTTTCCTGTGTACGCCGCTGCCGAAAACACCGTCTCCCACAGCACTCGTCTTACAGCCGTCGTATCTGAGGCGGAAGGTGTTTTTCAAAATGAGACTGGAGTTTGTGAGTGACGCTGACAGCGCTTGATTGCGTTTCATACCTTGATGCTCTACGGCGGTAATCACGGCAGCATAACATTCACACACTCTGCTCGTGGTGCTGCTGAGAAGGACGAGTCTTACGTGCAGGTTTAAGGCTGTTTGGGTTGATTATAACGGACGTGTTGTTTTATTCACAGGGTTTGCAGGTGAAGGCTGATTACGTCCCTCTGCTCCAGTCCCTGGCCACGTATGGATGGAGACTCACATGCGTGCTGCCGACTCCTGTAATCAAGACGAACAGGTAATCTGATTATTAAAGAGGTGTCAAGTCATCTGTGACCTCTAATGACCTCTGTTGGCAGCCAGGAGGAACTGCAAGAACAAAAAACAGCAAGTTTGATTTCTGAAACCAGCACGGGTTGTAGTTCAGTCCTGGAGGGTGACGCACACGTGTGCTTAGTATGTTATATTTATAATTACTTTAAAGTATTTTGTAGAGCTCTGCTTTGACTTTGATAGAATATTAAACAGGGGGTATTGCAGGTAGGTGTTGTAAATACAGTATAAAGACTTTAGCTGATATCTTGCATGTACATGATTCTTGGTGTCAGGTTCAGATGTGTGGGAGGTTCTTTAGGAGTTACAGATGAATTTATAACAAATAAAAGTCCTCCATGCAGATTTACTGACATGACAGCAGATCTCAGAGAGCGACTACGTCCTCCTCAATATCTACAACAAATGCATCTGTTTGCCCTGATATTAAAATAAACTGAAAGACGGCCGTATGTTTCTCTTCAGCAGGTTGAATACGTCCTGAATATGGAGAAAGTTTTAAACAGAAATCTTCCTAAAATCTTTCACAAATGAGCTATTAAACTTCACAGGTTTATAAATTAATTACAATTAATTCATTTGTTATCGGCGTAAGAAGGCGCCACATTTACTGGCCCAAACAAAAAGAAATGAAAGAGGACAGAGGTGTAAATTATGCTTATTGAACCAGCAGGGAAGAGAAAAGTTTATCTACAGGAGGATAAATATTTGAAAGCGATAGAGGAGCCCGAGGCATTCTGCTCTGTTCTATTTGGTTCTTGAATTTTGTGTTTTCCTTTTACATAGAAAAAAAAGACATTTCGATTATAAATGAATGCAGGAAAGGAACAAACTCATGCATAAAAATTCAGTAGAATAAGTTTTAAAAATGAGTGTTTGATGCTCAGAATATGTAATGCATCCTCCCAAATGTCAACGAAATCCAAGTGTGAAAGCACAGAAATATGTATAAAAGTTAAAAGTATTCATCATCCCTTTACTATATCTATTAATTACTGGTTTATTTTTAGTATTTTAATCTTGAAGCTGATCATAAAGTTTATATCAACAGTATTCGTCTGCAGCAGAAGAACAAAGTCTCTTCTGACATAATTAAGTTTTGAGTAAGAAAGTCTTAAAAAGAGCTGCAAGAAAAGTGAAGCTGGAAAGTGGAGCCTTGGGTGAAAAGTTATCGCACGACTTAAAATCCAAAGTTATAAACTTCAGTGTTCCTGTGAAAATTGGAACATGGTATGAAATACAATACGCACAAGTTATTGTTCAGAGAAATATGTCAGCTTTTGACAAAAATTGACCTAAATCTCTGCCAATTTCGACGGAGCTTTGAGCAGCTGCGCCTGTGTGCATTTTAAAAGCAGCAGCAGCTCTGACTGTTGGAGGAAAATCTCTTCACAGAAACGTAACGGTTCCTCGCCTGAGCCGCGCTGACTCATCACTCAGGGCTTCTGTATGAGTGTACATCCGCTGCTGGTCAAAGGTGCCACATGTTCTCAGATACGCCGAAGAGCTTCGCTTCAAAACAATTTGCTCCTCAACTCGCTCACCATTTATTTCTCCCGTCTCACACATGAAACAGAACAAAAACAGCGTAAACACAGTGAAGTCAAAGGGCTTCAGGATGTGTTGGAGCTGCTTTGGGTCCAGACAGCTTCTCACACCGTTAACAGATGAATATGAACACGATTTATATGAGCGTATACGGCTAAAGGCTAAGTAGAGAGCCAGGCAGTGGGCAGAACACGTCGGCCTTTGAAGTTTAAAGCTGAAGCAGCTGTAAGACTGTGAATAAAAATATGATACGACATCTTATAGAACTGACACGTATGTAGAGCCGCCATCGAATTCTATCATGTACATGAAAACAACAGAAATACTTTAAACCCTAAAAGAAATGAAGGCTCAGCAGATCAACAGAAAGTCCCTAAAGTACGACACACTAATTAATCCAACACACACACACACACACACACACACACAGGCGGCCAAAATCAGAACTAAACCACCATCCTGATCCAAACACATGGAGCGAGCCACACAGTTAGGGTTCTGTTCAGGGCTGAGGAGCTTCTCAACAGACAGGATCATGAGCGAGGTGTTCTGACTTCAGGTTTCCCTTTGACTCTGTTTCATGCTACAGTCCTGTTTTAGCCTCAGACGGTTGATAACGAGCTCGGTTAGCAACAGACTGATCACACAACACGTAAACACTGCCGGAGCATGACTCAGCAAATAAAAGACGACCTAACACACCTGCACACAACGATCCGACAAGGGCGTTTCAAGAGTAGATAAAAGATGCTTGTCAGTGTCAGTTGTTGCTATGGCAACTGAAACCATCTTCAAATCCAGGCTCAAACATACACGCGTGTATTCTTGTAAAAATCCCCTATAAGCACATTACATGTCATTTATGTGGGGATGAAACACAAAAAGGTATCTTAGAACTCTTTCATTAACCTGAATAAAAGAGACAAATCCTGCAGATCTTAATGACTCTTAAATAGTTTTCTGTCCTTCATTGGTTTTAATACCAATAATGAAGGAGAAGATTCTCTTCTCAGGGACAACAAGAGGTCAGCTTGGCAGCATTGCTGATTATTTAAGGGAATTAAAACATGTTCACATATTTACCGTCTAGCTTTACAATTTTACTAAAATTTTTGTTCAGTAGATTTTTTGTTGTTGACAAAAACAATCATTTAGCTGTTAACAACACAAACCTTATGTGACAGATCGACATGTCGACCAGGACGTTACCCACTGCTTCATTATGTTGACTGTGTTTTGAATGGAGGGCTGGTTCTGACTGAGCACGTCCACACTAACAAACCTTAAAACATGCTCTGCTTTATCATCTGTTTTCCTCTAAACAGGACCATTATTCACAAAATGAACACCATGCTGTACTGAAAAAGGCTTAAAACTACAAATTTAGACCAGACATTTATCAGGAACGTGTATATTGAGATAATAAATCCAATGAGAAGTAGGGTCATTTTCTCATAGACTTCTATACAGTTAGACTTTTTTGTCGCCCCCTGCTGGCTGTTAGAAAGAATGCCGGTTCAGGGCACTTCAGCATTAGCAGACTTTAGGAAACTTCCATTTGTTTATACACAGTCTATAGGTATTATACTTGACACTGATTAGCTCTGCTGTTGCTACAGAGTTCACCAAACAAAAGCAACTCGTTTATATAATCAGCCCATTAAATGGTCATTATCAGCACGTATCAGTTCCATACATTTCGGTCAGTCGGTGTTTTATCATCCATTTTGATCAGGGATAAGCAGACACCCAATAGCATAAGTGACCTCCTGAGATCTTCAACTGAGATTTTACAGTCACTGGACCAAATGAGACTTGATGACAAACCATGATCCTTTTCTACAGTTAACCAGGTAATGTTGGTTCCTAAACTTAGCCAAACACCCAGCGAAGGTCTAAACAAGACTTAAGTCAAAATATGAAACCATAACTATGACCAGAGACGTGACTTAACTCAGGTCTCCTGGTGTGAAGCTCCAACGTTGTGCCTCTTTTCCACAAACTAATCAAAGTCTCACATGTGCCCGCAACATTTCTTTTAGTTTTTCAGCTCAAAATGCTGCAGAGATGCTACAAGCCCTGATGTTGGTCCAGTTCTGAACAAGCAGTTTGGAATTCAATGAGCTGCTGCTGTTCTTCAGCAGGAACACGCCGTCGACATCAGTGATTATCGATGCAGAGCAGTCAACCACAGTCTGAGCTGGACTATCGGACGGCTCGGTTAAACACAACACATGGGTTGAACTCTCACTGGCCAGTAGAGCTGAGCGTCCATACAGCTGAGGGGGGCGGAAGTGAACGTCTTCACATCTTTACAGCTTTTATTTTATTAAAACAACCACATATCACAATAAGAGAGGATTTTCACCATTAAGGACCTTTAAGGCCGTTGACCAACCACCAAATGATGACGTCTGTTCCTATCGAGGCTGCAGCCCCAGTAGACGTGCTGATAACAACATGGTGAGGCCCAGTGAGCCTACCAGAAGGTGGACGAGGTCACTTCCTGCCCATATGTATGCAAATGTTTTGCGCCAATTGAATCGTATCATAAGATCTGAATCAGGCCATAAAAGAGGCGTCTGTGAAAACGTTGACAGGGCAGCTCCAAAGGCAGTTTTCAGTCTATCATGAATATTAAATGCATGGAGGCTTAGTGTTTGTCAAACCTCTCCAGAGCCTAGAAAAGTGAGTTTTGTTTTTGTCTTGTCATCAAGTCTTTAGGAATTAAGCGTGGAGGCAAACCCAGCAGACAGGAGACTTCTTTGGTCCATGTGTCAGGCCAGCAGGTTTATTTCAAAAATGTGAGCGCCGTCTTTGAGTCCAGTTCTTCCTAAAACATCCACAGGTTTTCATTTATATTATAGGCAGCCATCTTTGTCACACCTCTGGGCAGTTATTCTGGGCTAATGAGAGCAGGCAGCTATCTGGGTCACTGTGTAGAATCACCAATCACATCAGATGGTTTTTAACCTCATTTGGGGCAGACTAAGGTTTGAAAAGCGTTTTTCAAGTAACACTTTGACTAAATGCAGACAGTTTGATAACACCACACCTAACAAAGCAGACGATTGGCTTTGGGCTGAGGTGGGACATGTGTTATAAAACCACAATACTTATTGTTATAGAGTTCTCTCAGAGCTGCAGGTGTCTCGGTGGTTAGCACCGTTGCCTCGCAGCTAGAAGGTCGCCGGTTGGCGTCCCGGTGAGGACACCCGGGATCTTCCTGCGTGGAGTCTCCATGTTCTCCCCGTGCAGCGTGGGTTCTCTCCGGGTTCTCCGGCTTCCTCCCACAGTCCAGAAACATGCTGAGGTTAATTGGTGATTGTAAATTGTCCGTAGGTGTGAATGTGAGTGTGCTTGGTTGTCTGTCTCTAAGTGTAGCCCTGTGATAGACTGGTTACCTGTCCAGGTGAACCTGCCTTCACCCTGAGTCAGCTGGGATAGGCTCCGCCCCCCATGACCCTGGTGAGGATTAAGGTGTAGAGATGATGGATGGATGGATTCTTTAAGTTGCTCCTTTACAAGGTGTCTGGTTTTAATAGTAAATGTCCTCTTTCCTTCTTCCTGTCCCTCTGCTTGCTGTCAGAAGAGGCACAAGAGGGAATTTAATGTCAAAAGACTTTAAGTCTAGTTCATCCTGTCTTTATTTGTCAAACTCTGACCGCTGACGTCTCATTTATGCTCCAGTTAAACTCTAAAAAAGCGTTTTTATACCGAACAAGGACTGTGGATCACTCAGACAAACATCCCTGTAGGAAGAGATCTCTGTAGCAGGACCAGTTTCAGCCAACAGTAACTCTGTCAGTGTGCATACAGGCACTGAATAAAGTGTGAAGCTGTTCTTTAAACCTATACGACGCTGCGTCTCGCCACACTGACGGAGCGTACATGCAGTATTTCCATCAGTGCGCTGACCGATTGTTTGCTCTGCCACCTCAGCTGGTCGTGTTTGCTGCTCTTTCACAGCACAGCTGATTAATTACCTCTCTATTTTCATCCTTTTGTTTTTTTCCACACTCTCCCCCCTCTCGCCTCTCTTTCAAAATGCCACAACACAACAGCACAACATGGCTAATTAATCAGAGTCGGCCTAGATACAGTACAAGACGGAGCTCATTGCTCTCGCTGCCTCTGAAACATTTTGCACGTCGAAATAATGGTTGATGATCTATTCCAGATTAGCAATAGTCATTACACTTGTTTTTGTGCTGTTGACGCCTCCATTTTTAAACAGGAAATTTGCGAAAGCACGTCTTTCTTTTTCTTTTTTTTTGTAGTCTGAGTGTTTTCCAGGCCGCACTTCATCTGGAGGGGTCGGATAAGTGTCACTGATCTCAACAGCGTCTGAAATTAATGCTAACTGGTGCTCAGCGGCTTCTCCACACAACATTAATTCATGTCGTTGTCTCAGAGCATGCATTCATGTTCGCCGCATTCAATTAATGTAGATGGTAATTACATTTTGGAGCCATTAACTACAGTAAATGTGAATATCTGTGCGCTAACCGTGGAACAATAAACAACAAGCAGACGAGGAGGTTCAGACGAATTTGCTAATTATTGCAGGTACCTAAATGTGTTGGCGACTAAGCAGTGATTTACACGTCGGGTTTCGGCGTTAGCGTAGTGGAAGAAAGATTTCCGCTGTGAGTGCAGCATTTCATGTGTCAGGTCTTTTTATTTCAAGTGGCAGTTTGTGCTCTCGGCTTTTTCCCTACAGATGAAGCCACCAACAGGTACATTCACACATAAATGGGCACAGGCTATTGCTGTTCTATATAGCTTCAAGTTATAATAGTGCGGCTGACACTGACAGCCAAGAGTAGGTTCAGTAAAGGCCTGTAATTTTCTAAGCCATCCACTCCTTTCTGGTTTAATGGGCTGGGGCTTTTTGCTGGGAACTCCGGCTAGTTTTCAGCTTTGATTCAGCAGGAAGCCGTCCAGCATTCTTGACAGCCTAGAAAATAGCTTATGGATAAATGGTGGAAGGAAGGAGGTAATGGAAAAAAGAGGTTGTGGTGGGCTTTGGATGGTTTAGATAGTAAGCCTTCTGCTGGAGGAGCCTCGAGTCCATTTGATGTTGAGAAAGGGAAGATTTGCAGCAGGATTTTAGGGTTCTGCGGTGATCATAAACCTGCCATCTTTCCTCATGTGCAAGGTTGAGCGGGCAGCTTAACTTTAAAAAGCATCCAACTTTAGTGTGTGTGTCCACATGTGTTATTGAACTCGCGTCAGATAGCAGCGCAGGGCAACATATCTCCCTTTAAGCCGCGTCCAATAATAGCAGGAGAGAAATGGAGGGAATAACACAGAAACAAACAATAAAACTGTCACAAATCAGGCTGTCACATGAGATAAGAGTTGAAACCGAGCGGGCAGCTTTTTCACTGAGAGCACAGTGGGCTCAGAACGAGGCTGTGCATGACAAAGACGAGCAGACCAAAGAGTGAGCGCGAGAGACAGGAGGCCCACTCAGAAACGAATCTGCATTTCCTGCCATGATTAATCTGTCAGCGCGAGTACTTGTGCAGATTATCCTTCTCAGAACACAGGGGTGTGACATGTGCATGGGATGGAGGATTATATTTGGGGAAATGGAGGAAAACGGAAGAACTACAGAGCAGCAGAAGATGCTCACAAAAGAAAGTTCCGTGTTTTCCTGCAAGATTCGAGCGCAGAAGCGCGGTGATGACACTGACAGATGACGGCAGGAAAGAGGTGGAGCCACGAACGTGAGCCTTTATCCTTAAACTGTCAGATAAGAGCGTGAAGCATGAGCGGCGGCCGGCAGTCATTCCACTATCTTGATGGATGGTCAGAAAGACTGAGTGTTATCGCCGCGTTTTGCTCGAGTGAATTGCTCATATTTATCTTGCAGCAATTTTTCAAGCACGAAAAACAACGATAAATTATGAAAAATCTGCCAAAGCTGCTAACGCTACTTCTAAATGTTTAAACATTAAAAAGCAGGCGGGAAAACCGTGTTTTCTTCTGCCATTCTACATTGATTAGAAATAAATTAGCAGTGAAAACGATGCTCTTCATTAAAGAAATAAAATAACCTCAAGTTCTTGGTGAATTTCCAACAGCTCATGATCTCAACTCTTTCCCTTTTCTCTCTCTTTGCCCTCTCGTCCTTCAGCGACGGAAGCCTGTCCACCAAACAGATTGTTTTCCTGCAGCGACCCGTCTTAGGCCGAAAGAGGAGGGAGTCTAAGGTACGCGACCTCACATTCCTCTCTGTGTTTCTTGGCTAATTCTGTCACCTGCTTGCCATATATCCAAGACCAACATCACCTTTTGCTACCTTCACGTCCACAGCTGGTTTTGCTTTGAGCAGACAAACACACACACGGCGCTGCGCTAATGTGAACCAACTCCTCTCTGTTTGAGGATATAAGGAGTTCTCCAGCAGCTGTGTTGTTTGGGGAACCAGGGTTGGTAATGCTTTCTTGGCCGCCCCAAACGGTGACGATAACCTCTGAAGCTAACCTTTGTCTGCGGTGGAATGAATCCATGTTGACGCTTTCTGTGACCCGAATTTAAACTGCCATCGCAACAACAAATTTAATAGCCCCTAAGACTCGGGGAATTGCTGGCGTTAACAAGATTTTCTGGCCTGTTTCTTTGCAGTTTATCTCTCCCCGCAGTAACCCCTGCAGAAGTTGTTCAAGTAATTGAGGACATATTGCATTAAATTTTTTGCCTGTTTGTTTGGTCAGATTGAAGGCCTCCAGGCCACCAATAATTCCGCTCACAATGGCCTCAATTTCCTTCTCTGCATCAATGAGATTTGTTTGAATAAGCTAGTTACCCCAGCGCTATATTAGATTCGCTGTGATCCATTCTTAATTAAGTCTGTGTGTACTGCTTTGTGGCCAAAAGCATATTTAAAGAGTTATAATGCATTCCACTGACACGCTAATGTAAATGTTTCAGAAATTAATCTTCAAGCCCCGAAGCAAGTCCAGCAAGAACTGCATCAAAGACACGGCGAAGAACAAGAAGAAGAAAAAAACAAAGACGGAGAAGGACGGAGAAGATCCCAAGATTCTTGACGAGAGAGAAAAGGTTGAGAAGGAAGAAGACAAGAGCGGCGATGAAAGAGTGAACGCAGCCAGAGAAAGTGAGATGCTGAAAGAACGGGAGGCGAGGTGTGAGGAGGACGAAAAGATTGATGACGGGATCGAAATCGGCATCGAGACTGTCATGAAGAAAGATGAAGCAGCAGAGACGAAAGAAAACGGCACCGAAGAAGGGCAAGAAAAGATGGCACTGGATGGAGAGGGATCAAAGGAGAACGGAGAGCCTTTGGAAAACGGAGAGGTCAAGGAAGTGACGGAAACCGTGGCGACTGTCGAAGCTCAGAGCGAGACCAAAGAAAAGGAGAGCGAGGGAGCAGCAGAGGCTGATGCAGTGATAGAGAACGGGGTAGAGACAGACGAAGAGAAAGATGAAGGCGACGAGATCGAGACGGATGAACCGGCCGAGGTCACCGCCAAGGAGATTGTGGCAGATCCACAGGCCACAAATCAAAGCCCAGAGGAGACTCAAGAGTAGCCCCAAGGAGTTCAAGTCGAGGTCCCCGCCCCCCCACCCTACCTCTCAAGCCCCCCATCCTAAGAACTGGTTCACAGTGTTGTCCCTGATCCAAATTACCGGGGCTTCGATCCCCATCGCTGCAGCATTCTCCAAACCTACCACCTTTCATAGATGACTCCCCTGCAACCAGTGTAGCTATGAAAGAGTTTCATGTGACTGCAGGCGTCAGTCCGACTGTATAACCACACATGCTGAATGTATACGTCCAACACAGGAGACGCTGGGGCAGGATGGTCCATGTGTCTCCAGGATGGTGGCATTATCAGACAGGCTGCAGAGCAAAGTGAGTGTTTAAAGGCCTGGTCACCCCAGTGGTTAAAGGGCAAAATACTGCGCTGCAACTGGTGAAAACACACAGACTGGTGCGAGTCGTTTAGGCTGTCGTGGTGTTTCCAGATAGTTGTCAGATAAAGTTAAAGCAAACTTTGGGGAAAAAAGGCAAATAAAATGCAAATTCGGCTTGTTTCCATGAACTGCTTAGTAGCAAATAAACTCGGTTGTGTAGCGTCATGAGAAGGTGGAGGTCTAGATTACACAAGCAGCTGTGATAAGCGCAGCAGAAGAGGTTGTGAATCAGATGCTAATTAGCCACTAGCTAATTCTTTTAATTGTGTGTTGTCCCTGCAAAAAGAAACCAACCACTAATTTACCAACCGCTAAAAAAAAAACCCAAAGAAGAAGAAAGAAAGAAAACTTTGGCCATCAATGAGCCAAAAACGGTGAATGGTAAGCCTTTGGTTTGTTTCAGGCTGTCCAGAGTCTCTGGAGGTGGAAACAGCTGATCAGTCATCAAAGTTAAACATCTGCTGAGTTAGAATTTACTTGGAAAATGTGTTTTCATCTCACATGAAGCACATTAACTCTTTTTTAGAAAAAAGTCAAAAACCATCTGAGAGAGAAAACTGTTCTTTCTAATTATGCTGCTCCCATTAACGAATGTGATGCTTCACAATGTACGAAGAATATTCGATGGAAACCAGCGAGTGGGTCCAAAATGGAGGGAAGTGTCGTCGCCTGTTAGCTGTGTTGGAACAACATTCAACCTCCTCTGAGTGTAAAGTGCTCCAGAAAAGAGGAACCAGACTTTCATGATCCAGATTCGTCTTTTGAATAAACTGCGTGATGTTAACATCGGAGCTCTAAAGGGCTTCATTTACAGTTTTAATATCTCTGACGGTTTATAAAACTGAGAACAAAATGACCGGCAGTGATAATGACCACTGCATTACGATGGACTGTCTATAAAAGATGGATGTCGCCACCGTGGCGCCACTAACTGGTTTGTGGATTAACATTTTTAAGCCTCAGAATTTGTCCATCAGCATGTTGGTCATTTGAATCCGTTTATAACTAGTGAGAGCTGGATCTGACTGAGATACGACACCTGCCGATACAGTAGCAGCTTGTTATTTACTCTGCTGTGTCGTGTATTTTCCTCTAAATGGGACCGTCATTGACAAAATTAACACCACGCTGTACTGAAGGAGACTTAAAACTAGCTATTAATACCATAAATTAATTAGGAAAATGTTTATTGAGATGAATAATCCAATGAGAAGTAGGGTCATTTTCACATAGACAGCTAGACAGAGGAGTCGCCCCCTGCTGGCTGTTAGAAAGAATGCAGGTTTGTGTCACTTCCAAACTGGCTTCAGGCCAAGATGCTACACCATCCTTAATATACAGTTTGTGTGTCACCAGTTAGCTTTCTGGATATATCACCAGTTTTTTAGATCAACTACCTTCATTGTGGCCCTTCCTGGTGTGACCAGGCCTTTACGTCATGCAGAGTTTGATGTCAACTTTCAACTTGCCTGAGTAGGGTTAGATAGTCTAAAAGAATTATGCTGTTTTATACACACACACACACACAACAATTACGTCCAATACCATGGTTAGCTGTTCTCGTCTTGTCCAGGATCTCTACCCAGATAAAGGACCTGTTACCAGAGGTACATTCACCTGACAGGTGAGCAGTTTGAGCAGCTTTTTCCAGCTCATGAAGCTGTGAACAGACAAATCAGCTCCAAAACCCAAAATCTTGACGAGACACAGGCCTGTGTCGCCCGACCGACTGACAGCACGAAGGCAGGTAGGCTCAGACTGCAGCGCCGGCCCGGTTCCTCCTGTAAGCTGGGATGAGGAGGGACATGGGAGGAGAAAGCCGGTAGAGGTGACGGGAAAGGCGTTTGTTGCGACAGGCAATCCAAAGTAGGCTGAAGAGATAATTGTTTACACCGAGCTCTAAGCCATCAAGTGCTTCAAAGAGAGCCGATAATCACTCCTTGGTGTGGTGTGCTCAGCTCACCTGCATACAGAATGTTCCACACTCAAAGCCAAGTCAGACACGGATGTGAAATTCAGCTGAATGTTTGCACCTCCGGGGCAGAGCTCGGATTTAGACGTTAGTTTGCAGACACAGGAGTTATTTCTGCGCAAAAAAAATAAAAAAAGATGCATTTTTAATTACATTCCAGTCAATGGCTGAAGACAAAAGTCAGTGGAAACAAGGTTAAGCTGCCTTGTGTTTTTTATTGAGACCAGAACTGAGCGTTGAGACGGAGAAACTGAAACAAAGGACGAGGTTGTAGTGAAAGAGAAAGACCACAGAGCCTCAGAGTCAAATAAAAGAAATGAATAGGCTCATTTAAAGCAACAGCCGCTTGTGTCCCACATCCCCTGTTGAGATTTCTTTCATTATTTTACCTCCATCTCTTTAAGCACCTCTCACCAGACATCATTTCTGACAATAACCAAGTCATAATGTGCTGTTTCATGGCATCGCGTAGCTTTCCGTTTTCAAAGGTGGAGCAGGAGGGCGGCGGCCACGTTCACGGCGTGGAGCTCTCATTAGCTCACTAATGGGTTTTGTCAGCGGGATGTCTGTCAGTAATCATGCATTTATAATGGGGTCACTTATTGGGGGAGGTATTGACAGCAAAACACCTCAACATGTCGAGCAAATAGCCTTCATATTTAACAGTGATGTCACGGGGAGTCACTTGCACTGAGGAGGAAGAGTTAAAAATGTTCAGTTTTACAAAGAAACCCCAAACGCCTCATCCCACAACGAGTCTATTTATTAAAGTGTTAGTATTTGGTTCATGGAGAACGTAAACTACCTGCTGTCCTGCTTCACACGCGCTATAATTTGTCACAATTTGGATCTTTAGTTTTATGAGAATAAATGATAGCTCGGTGAAGAAAAATGGCTCCTTTCTGGAGAAGAAACTCTTCAATTACACACAAGTAAGATCGATTATGCTGAACAAGTGCTCTCCTTTTTGGGGGATTAATCCGCCCGCCGCTGAGATTTTTTTCAATGTAAAATGGCATATGTTTCTGTGTAGAGTAGAATATAAAACTGTGACCAGTCTAGCCTTATTACTATACTGTAAATGGCCCACAACCTGCTATTAGAACTGTCTTTTAGAGGCACAATGGTGATTTAAGTGTTATATGTTTGTTATAGTCAAACAGGAAAGTTTTTTGCTACCGTCGGTGTTTTGAAGACGTCGTTCCCTGTTTTATTACTGGAATTCAGAGCGAGTTTGTCTATATGAAGGTATTGAGTTTTATTTCTAACATGTTTTGTTGTTTTTTTTTATGGTGAATGTTCTGTTTCCTGAGTCGACAGATTTTTTTCACTGTGGGCTTCGTGTTGCCTCTGCTGTTCCGCTAAAGCTTGCAGAAATGTATTGCTGACTGACGCTTCGAGCTACCTCCCGAGGGCTGTTGTTGGTTTTAACCGAGGGGTCGCCGCCTGTGTGACCTCCTGAAGCATATGCTCCTTGTCCTCTCGCCCTCCACGATGACGGAGACCAGAACTGTGAGCGTGAGGTCATCGCTAATGGCAGAAAAGGCCGAGGGTCACATCTGAGCCAGAATGGATTTTCCACAGCTGCACACAGGAGTTTGCACGAGCATATGACAAACAACCACTCCGATATCGAATGAAGACATGAAGTCATGTCATGATGTTCTCTGTGCTGTTTTCTCTCCTTTTTTTTTAACTTCATTCTCCTGGCTGCTTTTTGTTCTCTGCTTTCTGAGCTTTAATAAGCATTTACTGCATTCAAGGAATATTTTGCGCCACCTCTTGCATCAGAGGAGCCGGTAAGAGTCGGCTGTCACTTTCACAGCTTTGTCAGGATGTGACAGATATGAATTATGAAACGCAACCGACAGCAGATCCTCATGAATACTTGAGAAATTTCCCTGTTGAATCCTGGTCAGCTTATTTCATCAGATTTAATTAATTTCTTTGCTCCCCCATCCAGCTTCGAGATAAACATTTTAGCTGTCATTTATCTGTTTTATGAATTTATTTCAGCGCTTCTGATTTCCTCCTTCTCGTGTGTGTTATTCTTTTGTTAATCTAAAGAACTGTGACATGTATTCCCCTTTGGCATCCTGTGAGAACAAACACATCATATTCCTCTTTATCTGTGGGAGCAGGAAATAGAAAAAGAGGCGATCTCAAGCGACGTGACTGCTTTCCGACTCCCACTACATTCCGGCTGGACAAACAGGAATGACCGTAACCTTGACAAACTCGCGTCCGTCCATCCCTACCTGAGGCCGCGGCCTTCGGGGCTCCGCGTCCCCCTGATAAGGGCTGATTGGTGGCTTCGCAGTCTGACCTCTGACACCGGAGCACTCCGGGGACCGTGGGGTAGCCGTGATCTGGTATTAAAGACACGGACGGGGAGAGAGAAGTGAGGCAGGATCTGACACTTCATCAGTTAAATGATGCCGAACCGTGTTAACGTAACCGTCCGTGAACAGAAGGCGACCTCTGACTAATGTCACACTTAAATACACATTTGCAGCCCTCTATCCGTTCATGTAAAGATAAAAAAGGAAAAAAAAATAAAAGGTAATATCCAGTTTTCTGTCTTATATCAGCATAATCGTCTCTGAGCCTCAATCGTGGCGCTGGTGCAATCGTTCTTGGTAATGCTGTACAAAACGTGATGGTTCATTTCCTGTGTGCTACTATGATGTGAAACGGGCAGAGTAGAAACGACAGAACATGATACAATAGGATGCCGTCATTTTTTACTTTGGTTTTTTTTCCCCGTGTTGTCACTTTAGCTTGCTCACAGCCTCTGGAAAATGTATTCTTAGATTTTTGTCTCTGATGTGAGTTTTTTTTTGTTATCACCTCGGCTGCCATCTTGAATGTTGAGTATCTTTGATCATGTGCTGTTGTCACTCGCATCGCTACGGAGGAAGAAAAAGTATTCTTTATCTTTGCTATCCTGAGTATGTCCACATTCCTATTGTTCATGACATCTGTACAATTTGTATATTATAAAAATGATTTATATTTAATGTGTACATGTGTCCTCGCTTCTTTTGTGTCACAGGAGGTGCAGCTTCTGCCCGTCCAGATGTTTACGGTTTTTCAGAACTGATCCTTTATGTTTGGATTTGAACCAAACCTTGAACGTTGCAGATATAGAATACGTCATACTTTCTGTGCTCTACTCTGAAATCCTAGGACCATTTAGGGCTAAAATAAAACGATAGGACTGCAACTAGTTCTTATTTTTATTGTGTTTTTATGCTGTAGACTTTCCTCAGCTCATCTGATTTGTTGTTTTATTGATAAAATGTGTGAAAATGGTGGAAAGATAGTAATCTGTGTTTCCCAAGGCAAAAAAATAACGTCCACACATCCCTTGTTTTGATGTTTAGTTTTATCGTCACAGAGGAGGAAGCATTTAGGACGCTGGGATCAGAGAGTTTAGAGGGTTTTTTTCCCCTCTAAATTTTTAACCATTTTTCAAGATAATTGCTGGTTAATTTATTCTTGAAAAGTCATCGATGAATGCAGTTTATGCAACAACACGATTTCTTCTAAGGCCTGAAAAGCTCAGAACATTAACCAAGATGAACACAGACTTTCGGCCACTAGGGCGGCGGGCGAGACCAAAAACCTAAAGCATTCGGTTTTCTTGTTCTACTTTTTGAGAGTCAGCTTCCTGCAAAATGTTCCAACATGGGAGTCTGATGCCCACTATGTATAGATCTGTGCATAAACGACACCTCTGACTGGCTCTTAAATAGCGGAAAAGTGGAACATTAATTTAAAGGGGCAATAAGAGCAAACTGCCCGTCCACGCTGCAGGAAACCCACAAGACAGAGACAGTCTGACACAAGAGGCAGAAAACCTGTCCAAGCCTGGCTGTAGTCAAGTAAGAGAAAACAACAGAACATTTAAAATCCTACTTCTGGTGACTCAGCTGTGACAAACCTTCAATCAACTCTGGCAAAAACATAGATTAGAAACTACATTGTCCTGCAGACTGTTACAGGATGGGAGTGTGCCAACCCTTAATATATTCATGCATAAATTACACCTCTGAAAGGAGGAGACTTGGCCATTAAACACCGGTCAGTCTGAGGTAAACACTCATTACCGGTAAATGGCCATAAAGGAGAGCTGACAGCAAAGAAGCTTCTTCAGTCTGCGAGACATCCACAAGACAGAAACGAGTCTGACACAAGAGTGAAGCACAAACATCACAACGAGCACAGAAGACACAGTTTGCCTGCTTCTAGTTTCACGTCGTGTCTTATTCACGTCTATTACAAACATAATGATAATGACCAAAGTTAGCAGGAGCCAGCGTTTAGTTTGTGGCTTCCAGCTGTTTGTAGGAATCTTTCCTCCGAGTTGATTAAACACCTGCAGCATCAGGAGAGAGTCGTGCACGTTTACGCATGTGGAACAACAGCAGTAGCTTCATTAAAGACAAATAAATGATCCCCAACACGGAGACAGCATCAGTCAAGAGCTGACGTTAGACGACGCTGTGTGCTTAACCTCAGACAGACGAGCTGTCACCACAGAGTCTAGAAGCTGCAGACGGCTGAATCCTGACCTCGCCGACATCACCGAGTCAAATCAGGTTTCACTCACATCAGGTATGTTTTTAATCAGAGAGTTTTTAGTGTTTCACTGCAGGATATCTGCAGCTGTCACATTATTGGGCACATGGATGCTTTATAAACAAACAAACAAACAAACAAACAAACAAACAGAGATTAAATTTTAAAAAATAAAGATAAATAAGTTTAAAACAACAACAAACAACAAACAGACAATCAGGATGTCCTCCCCTCTACACCACCAGGGTGTCACTGTTTCAGTGTTGACCTGATCGAGCAGAGTCCAGACCAGAACGGGTCCATCATGTCCACATAGTCCAGGACGGGTCGCCACATCGTCATAAATCCTTCAGTGTTCCTCCACAGCAGGGCTGTCCTCTGATATCCAGAATCTGAGAATTGTCTCTCTTGCTATATAATCAGGTTAGCATCATATTTGTCCACTTCTGCTGCCAAAATGCAGTGAAAGGAGGAGAGCTCCAAGTCATGTCCCATCAGAACAACAATCCCTCACGTCAGAACAGAAATTCTGAATTTTGCCACATTTCATAAACACGTGTACATGTACCAAAGAAATCACATTGTGTTGAACCGTATGTTGCTGTAGTTTGGTCACACATGGACAGGATCCTCAGTGTTGGTGTCTTAAATAAATTATGGATGTCTTGCCGCTGGTTGAACTTTTCTCCCTCAGACATTCTGCAGCATTTCTTCTGGTGGACGGCTTTGAACTATTTTTAATTAGATTAGATTTGCTGTCATTATGCAGTGTGAGGCGACAATACAACTAAATCTGAAGGCGCCTCCTGAGTGGAACAAACACAATCGACGCAAAAGATATAAAAACATCAGGATGTTTTAAAAGGTGATAAATATGTAAAAGTGCAGCAGGAAAGGCAGACATTATGAAGTAAATAATAAAACTGTTTAAACAGCTGCACCTCGATTAGTCGATGCAAATCTGATAAATAACTATAAAATAAGAAGCCAAAGTGCATGAAAGCGTAGTTCATTATAGGATTCCTGACGTGCATTTACGGCTTTTGGTTTTCGTTTATGAAAAGCGTTGATACGCACAACTGCACGAAACACAGAAACTATCAAGTCCAAGACTGTGTCTGAGCCCTCCAGCCTGATGCAACCCTGAGAATCAAAAGACACAATGGATGTCCCTCATAAAGCGCTCCAGCTCTCTGTGTCGTAGGAATAAGTTCTTCAAACCGCCGTGTTCTTGCTCTGCTCAAGGACTGCTGCCCTTGGACGAACACACAACGATGGAATGGCAGCATCAGTGCTCCGTGGAAATACAAAAAGCAGCCGAATGCAGCAGGGAGGTGAGACGTACAGACCCGAATTAACATTTACTCTAAGCGAGGGGATGTTTTTGTTTTTTCAGATCTGCTCCATCTGGTTATTACCTACATTACTGTGGGAACCTCAGTGTAGATCAACTTGATAGTTATTACACCATAACACCACAGTAACACCATTTATTCTGTCCTTATATCAAAACAACACCATTCGGGCCCAAAACTGTCCCTCATGCATCAATATTTCACATAAAACCTCCAACTGCCACACATCATAATAACCCCGCGGTGTTTATGAACTGAACTATATTTACAGTTGAGTCAGCCCAGCCGGTGTGATCTATAAGTCATGAGCCGGGCGCCCGGGGGAGCGTCGGGTCATTAAGAGGAGCGCTGCGCCTGCAACCAAAACCAAAAACACCAAATCCATTCTGTTCACTACAGGAGGCGTTAATGGCTCTTAAGGCAGGCTGGGGACCCACCTGAGGGCCGCTAAGACGGTCAGAAGCACAGCGAGACCGCGGCTCGGATATTAAACTTATGACCCGGGGCGTTATGATGGCGAGGTTCTGCTCCGGGGCCCAGAGGTAATGCTGCACAACGGTTTGTGGAGGGTGTTTGAATAATGAAGTTCCTTTGTGACTGTAAAAAATGTTGTTTTCATGATTGCGGTACAGGATGCAATAACGGCGCGCGGGCCGGGCCGGGCCGAGGTGGGTTCAGCACAGCTCGCAGGTCTCTGGGCCCAGAGGGCTGCTGAGGTCCCCTGAGAGGTGGAGCGGTGCCAGGTGTTCTGACTCCATCGATCTAGAAGTCACCGCACTCATTAAATCAGTCCAAAATGTTTGTACTGGCTGCGGCTTGATGCAGCGCTGCCACCTAGTGACCGCCTGAGGCCTGCAACAGAACCAACTCCAGAACACACTGCATCCTTCTGGTTCTGACATCCATCCATCCATCCATTATCTATACACCGCTTGATCCTTCTGGTTCTGACATGTTCAGTTGATGTTTGACAGAAACAGAAATTTAACGGTGAACGTATCAAATAATACTCGTGATAATTTTCACATTTTCACATCATACAGTACGGATAGTCGACAACCTTGTGCTTCTGTTTGGTGTTCTGCTGACCTGGTTTGGCTCCACTTGTCCCCTTTAAGGCTCCACTCTCTGTAAATCAAGACAAAGCTGCTCTCAGGCGTCGTCTTCATCCTGTCAGAACATTTCTATCCTGACTTGGGCGTTTTCTTTCAGGATGACACGACCTGCATCCAAGGGTCACTGAACGGTTTGATGAAAATTAATCCTGTGTTGTGGCAGTCGCCACATCTAAACCAAACTAAAACCTTTGGAAGACTTTGGACCAACATGCTCAGGTCCAGTTCCAGAGAATCAACACCAAGCAGCCCTGAAGCACGTAGCACCCTACACATCACCAGAACATGGTACGTAGCTCTTTTTTCTCTAATTTATCATCTGTTTTTAAAGTCGCTTTTCCTTTTGTCAGAGCTTAATATCCAGGTTGTACCGCTTAATCCCTCTAAAGTGCTCTCCACTCTCACGCCTCGGACCACCTTTATCAGCCCGGAAGGCTCTGAACGGAGCTGTGAGAGAAAAGAACCTGATTATGTCAAAGAAAAGCCATCAAGGTCATCTTAAAACTGAGACTTCAAATATTTGACAGAACACCTGGAGCATGAGTTTTAACAGATGAGGGTGTTTAAGAAGCAGGAGGGTCAGATGAAAGACGTTACTGAGCAGCACCATAATTGGACTTTCACTCAGGAGACAGTCTGAGAACCGAACAGTCAGCGTTTCTTTTTAACCATGACTGGTCCATAAAGGTTCTGTTTCCAGTAAGCCCAACCCGGCCTGGTGTCGCTCCCAACTGGTCGCATCAGGACACTTGTTAATGACACCTTGGCCCAATGTTTTACCACACAGGCAGCACCGTGTGGGTCAGGGTGGGTCCAACAGACCTCTACAGAACCCTCTCAACGCCTGATTTAGACGCCAGTAGAGTGCAGTACAATATTCTGCTGGTGTCGCTTCTCATGGAAACAAGAAAATGAAGCAGTTTGCTGTAAATAGGAGTAATATAATTAATATTAATATAAGTAATATAATAAGTAATAAGTTCGTCTTGTAGTTAACACTGTGTAAAGATCTAATGATCTTTTCCTGAACCTAAAAAACGAATAATAATAACCCAAAAAACCTGAATATGTCGAGTACATTAAAAAAACACTGGTCCTTCGGTGGACATTGTCAGTCTTTAAACTTCCGTTCAAGGCAAAATGCAGCAACCTGTGTGTTGAAAGTGATGCACAAGTGGTTCCCAATGCAATAACATTAAAGCTGCAACGTCTAATCGATTGACAGACAACAATGAAATTACATTTAAAAAGGCAAAATTTTCTCATTCGAGCTTCTCAAATTTGAACATTTTTTGTTTTCTTTCCTCCTCGATGACAGTAAACTGAAAAATCTTTGGGTTGCAGACAAAACAAAACATTTTAAGACAAAATCTTGGGCTTTGCTAAACACTCATCCAACATTTTCTGACATTTAATAGATCAAAAGTGAATCAATTAATCAGGAAAACATCTGACAGATGAATCAAAAGTGAAAATAACTGTCAGCTGCAGCACACGGTGAAGCCGAGGTGTTGTCCGTCTCTGAACAGCTGGGAGTGCAAATGTGCCGAACAAACCACTTAACCAAAACATTTCATTGAAATGTTGTATTTTGCATCAGATGCTCTGAACCAAACACAGAGAAGGTCTGAGCCTGGTCAGGCCTTACAGGACCACATGTAACATCACAAACTGAAGATTCATTCCTTGTCTGTTGAATGCACACTGTGTAGTTTTAAAAGCTTGATCATTTTGTTCATTAACCCTGACGATACAGGAGAACTAAAGGGATTCGCTTCAAGAAGTGTATTTCAACGACCACGTGGAAAATAAAAATGGTCGCCATGAGCTACTTTTCAAAACCTTCAGGCTCTCTAACTGTCCAACAGCACCAGATGTCCTGCTCTGATGAAACGCTGACATGTCACCTGAACTATTTTCTAAGCAGAGCAGCAAGAGCACTTGAGCATCAAACTCCAGTAAGTCCAGCTGGATCCGCAGTCAGCACCGACGTCCTCACCACCAGAACCGAGAGGTTCTGCGTAGCTGCGTCAAAGGCTGTCATCACTTTGCCTTGACTTGCAAAATCTTGTGAAAACCATTTCCTCAGTGTCTGATAACGTCCTCGAGTTCCCCACAACTCTCCGTACACTCCGCGTTAGCAGATTAACTACTCGCCGATTAATTAGCACAATTACCTCTGTGTGTGCCAGTCGGTGTCTTATCAACCTTTGTCAGGCCTTAAACTGTAAATTAATTAATACCCCCTCTCTTGTCATTTCTTAATTACCTCAGTTCCAGCAGGAATTCTGGGAAATGCCTGTGTCAGCGCCTCCCGCTTATTATGACTTTACTGTGAGCTCATTGGTTCATTAGACGGGAAATGAAAACATGCTGCTCTGGTGCTGATGAGGGGACGACATGATGTCCAAAGACGAGGGCTCGATCTGCAGCAGAGACCCTTCATCTGTTGGCTCTCGATGCTGAAGGTGATGCTCGGCTCTGAGTTCTCAGAGCTGGATGAAGCAATCGTCAGTGTACTGCTGACTGCTCATAACTCTGACCTCAGTACGCGTCAGTGCCATTAGGAGGGAAGGAACGGACACAAGAAAAGACAGTTCAGTTTGTGGGAAAGCAGCGATTCAAGTAAGCTTTTTATTATTATTTGAAATCTCTGAGTTCAAGGTGTTGGAGACAAACTGGACTGAGCTTCTCATTCGCTGATCACTGTCAATAAAAACAGAAACACAAAGTCACAGAAACATTCTGTAAACGTCTGTTAATACAAGATTTAAATAAACTGGACATTGATCCACATCAGGGTCCAGCTCGTAGCTGTTCGCCCAAAAAACTACATGTAAAAGTTAAAGTGCAGATGAAGCCTGTGCCATAGTCTAAGAATCCAGAGCTGGATGAATGGATGCTGAGATGAACTGATTTCTGTTGTTTTCAAGGTCATGAATCAGTTTTGAAGCTGCACGTCCCCACATTAGAGATGCAGCCGTTGTTCTTCCTTCTTTTAATGAAAATGAATAATAGAACACAAAAACACGCAACAACACACTCTGCCATGTTCAGACAGAGAGAAAATAACTCAAAATACTTTCTTTAAAAGACAGACTCAAGAGAGAAGCTGTGATGGGATTTGGTTTCTGTTCGTGAGGCCCGTTGTGGCTCAAAGGCAGCGGGGTGCATTCAGACCTGGAGTTCAGCTGCTTTGATCTGAACCAGAACTAAATGAAAATATTTCCTCTTGTTGTATTTTTGGATTCAGTTCATCCTGATAGTAACAAATCAGGGCTTGAAAAGAAAGTAGTTCAGGAATCGGACACTGAAACAATAACCTGTTATCACTGGAGGTTAGAGCCCGCTGAGGATAAACACAAGGAAATGGATGAAGGACGGATTAGCAGGTAAAGTATGTGAACATATGTGATGTCAGCCAAGGTGGTTGAAAGGTGTGAACTAGTTGCAAAACTAACGTTTTAGCCCCTGACGCCTACGACAAAATAACATGTTTCAAGCAACCACACAATAATACCAAACAAAGGCAAAACTACGACCCAAAGGAAAACAACAGCACTTAAAACCTTAAGCATGACGGAAACATACAAAGAGCCCATTGATTATCCATCCATCCATCATCTCTACACCTTCATCCTCACCCGGGTCATGGGGGGCGGAGTCTATCCCAGCTGACTCAGGGTGAAGGCAGGTTCACCTGGACAGGTAACCAGTCTATCACAGGGCTACACTTAGAGACAGACAACCAAGCACACTCACATTCACACCTACGGACAATTTACAATCACCAATTAACCTCAGCATGTTTGTGGACTGTGGGAGGAAGCCGGAGAACCCGGAGAGAACCCACGCTGCACGGGGAGAACATGGAGACTCCACGCAGGAAGATCCCGGGTGTCCTCACCGGGACGTGAACCGGCGACCTTCTAGCTGTGAGGCTACGGTGCTAACCACTGAGCCACCTGCAGCCCTATATATCTGTATAGTTATGCAAAAAGGTGACACAGTACGTGGCTAAATGAAAGAGCAAAAGCCTGGACGAGATGCTCCAGGTAGGTTAGAAGCAGTGTTTTCTATGGGAGACCTCTGACGTGCACAGAAAAGCTTTAACACTCTGAAGGAAAGGAGACATGATACGTTCTCTTTAGAACTAATCTGTGTCGGGGTTTCCTGCCTGTACTGATTTGTGAACCGAACATTTCCAAACACGAGCATGAACAGCTGGCGGTAAAGTTCCCTTAAGTAGCCAGACCTCCATCTTCATCACACGGAAACATCTGGAGAAGATGTCAGATCATCATCACAAACTCTCGAGTTAATGAGAAATCCCTCCGGCGCCGCCACTCAGCCGGCTGTGATTCTGAAAACACCGAAAGCGACACTCGTGCTGTGTTACACAAACGAGCTCGCTAAGACGTCTCGATTACATCCAGCCTGTTTATACGCAACTTTTGTGCTTCGCTTTCTCCAGGTTTGAAGACCACCTGAGGTAGATGAACTGTGCTGACGTGGGTCATCTGTCCTCTTGAGAGGTGACGACAGGATGGATTTTCTTGCTGCAGGTTTGGGCTTTAGTCAGAGTTTACAGCTACAGCTTTGGTGGCAGCACCTCAAACACTTAGAGGTAATGTTGACATGGCTTCGGGCCATGAAGTCTGTTCTCAGTGGCTCAGAGTGAGTTCATGTAAACCTTTATGAGGAAGTGTCATTTATCCCACAACTATTTCTGGGCCTTTGTTCTTAGAATCTAATCCTTCATCTTACCTGCTGAGGTTTGGCACAGCAATGGAAGCGCACATCATTGAGGGTGGAGTCGTCCAGGGCGTACTGGTATTCCTCCATCTTGGTCTCGATGCCGCAGATCCCTCCGCCGCTGCACTCCTCACTCCAGTGGCCGTACTCTCCCCAGTCCATGCCGGGCGCCTCCAGCGTCGGGTTACTGCTGCAGCGGAACTTGATGTTGTTGACGGTCGTGTCGTCGCCAAACAGACCCTGGTGGGGCTCCACGCGGATCTGGAAGGAGGTGAGCACGCCGGAGGGGCAGTACTGGGGCTGGGACCAGTCACCGAAGCTGGGCAGAGGAGCAGCGAACACAGCAGAGTGAAAGGAAAATATCAGGAGGAGATCCAACAGTGGAAGATGTTCACGACATTTAAACGGGTGGAGGCGATGCTTTCACTCCAACACAATGCTCATCTACAGCTCAGTGCTGCTTCCAAAGCGCTGAACTGTTTAACTCTGACAGCGCAGCAGCGTTAACCAGGTTAGGGAAGGTGTTTGGGTGGTGTGTTCAGGCCTGTGCCACATCAGAGCTCCTGTTGCTAAACAGGTTGCATGAAAAGGAGCAAAACTGGATCCAGGATGACAACTGACCCGGTGGTTTAACAGGAAGTGAGAAATAAGTGATTACTAATATTACCAGCCGCACTTCTGCCAAAAATTAGAAAAAGAAACTACCAATTTCACAGCCTGGCGACCCCAAATGTGCTCTCCTTAATGGTTTAACTGAGCTTTCAGGATTTGCAAATAATTTCTAATAATATAAAGCAATTACTCCGAGTTATTAGCGAGCAGAACTCGTTACTGCGGCTGCTTACTAGCCGGTGTGGGACTCCACCGTGTACAGGAAGCTTCGGTCCTCTGCTTTGGCACAGACGAGGCGGATCCCGTTCAGGGCGGTGTCATCAGTACCGTACTGGTTGGACTCCACCTGAGGAAACACAGCAGTTCCCAGAAGCAGAAGCCGCTCTGGTTAAACCGGTTTCTTATCTTGTTTCTGGTGATCGAGACATCAGAGTTACATCCTGTTTAGGTGTTTCAGTCTGATCAGGTGAGTGCTGGTTAGTGTGTGAAACTACAACAAGTATGAATCTGTTTAATCTGCGTTTAAAAACAATCAGAATTAAACACATCTGTTTTCAGTTTCTCTCTAATCTTTAATTTTCTGGGAGATACTGGATCATGCTTAGTAAAATGAAACCCCAACGAGAAGCTGAGCGGGAAAAATCCAAAGAAGCCCAAAAGGTTGAAAGCCACTGGTTTAATCTTTAACTGTGTTGTAATTAGAAAGCTCGTTATAACATCCATCGAGTCAAAGCTTCATCTCACAAGTAACTAAAGCTGGTAGATAAATGCAGTGGAGGAGAAGGTTCAATATTCCTCTCTAAATGTCGTGGAGTGGAAACAGGAAGTAGTACCTCAGTACAGGTACCGGAAAACTGGAATTAAGTGAAGCACTTGATTAAGAACTTAAATATGTATTGAAATAAATTTTAAATGTTAAAAATCATCAGGAAAATGTTCCATCATTCAGAACTACTGGCAAAAAATAGCAACGAGCAAAAAGGACAAGACGAGTCAAAGAACCCCAGAGAGAGAGTCCAGAGTGTGGGATCAGCAGAAAGCTAACCATGCTAACTGCAGCTAGCCTCTCACCTGTCTGAGCGGCTGAAGCTGATTCAGATACCTGCAGTGGAATAAATACGACTCAGGTTTGTCTGACTCACTGCTCGTCTACCTTTAATCCGTTTTAACGCTTTGTCCAATTAACTAACTGCTAAAGTCGAGTATTTCCTCACAGGTGTGACATGTTTTGTGTCCCCACCTGGAGGTCCTCTAAGTAACCGTGGGAGATCTTTAAGCAGCCTATCGTTGTGCCTGTCAGAATGTGCTGCTCTCTTTCTTTATACTTTACAAAGAGAGCTGAAATCTGAAGTCTGTATATAAATATACATTTTTCTAAAAAATTAAACCAATTATTTGCACATTTTGAACGACCTGTCGAATTCTCTCATCTATATTTATTATCACTCTTTAATAAAATAAAATTAAAAGTATGTTCGAGTGATCAATGAAATCATCAGTAAAATAATCAATTTATTAAAGTAAATGACAGCTAAAGTGAGAACGTAGATGTTCTTCTACAGGTCTGTAAAAGTGGAAAAAACTTAACTGATGGGATCAATAACTGCAGCAGGAAAGAATATTTTTAGTAATTTTCTGCAGCTCCAGAGGCAACAAGGCTGGAGATAAACACACATTATTGTTTTTAGCCTTAAAAACGTCAGCATGCATGGTTTACCGTGTTCAGTCTTAGTTATTATCATCCTAACATGTTCTGAAGATATTAATATTTACAATAACGTTGCACAGATTACAGTTTGACTGGATGATGAGAAGAACCAGAAAGGTAATAAGAACCACATCCATGCCGAGGGAGGCCCGACCGCGAGGACCAGATTTAATCCAGGAGCCTGGTCCGGGTCAGCAATAACACAAATCAAAATAACCAAATAATTAATAGCTGCAGGCCTGCATCAGAGATATCAGTGTGTGTCCTTATTGTGTGTGTTATTGCTCAGTGCTTCTCTCTTCAGGCACTAATTATTAAAGCTGAATACATGTAAAACATTTAGAACATGTATTATTTCTTTCCTTTCCACAGCAGGTTTATATTAACTCTAATCTCTTTGACTGTGTAGTGTGTGTGTGTGGGGGTGTGTGTGTTTACCCTGACGCTGAACCCAACAGCAAAGAACTCATCAGGACACATCTCGGGCCAGGTCCAGTTCCCAAACTGCTCCCCGTTGTTCACAGTGAGCACAGATCTGTACTGCCTGTTGCTGAAGGCCACGCCGGCTCGCTGCAGGAAGCCCGTCTCCCCACAGAACCCGCCGGACAACACGGCCAGCAGCGCCACGGTGGTGAACAGACGAGCCATGTCGAGAGCAGTGAATCAGGATTTCACTCTAACAGGTAACGAGGGTCCGGACTCGACGCTCTTATAGCCTCCCTGCTGGTTCCAAAATAGACCGCCGGTATCAGGATGAATCATTTACAGTCAGCTTACGGGCGGCGTGGGAATCGACAGCTGGTGTTGGAAGATGGAAAGGTACGTTCAGAGAAATTCAGCGTTCATTCATCTTTTACATGACGGCATGCAGCATCAGAGCCACTTGATGAATTTAATCCACAGGACGTCTTCCAGCAGCAACAAAACCTCTGAAGTTAGCTGTCCAGAAATAACAATAGTATAGATGTTAAAGGAGAGCTGGGCCAGTCAATGTGAGATGCTTTAAACACATTTGAACACCTCTACACTGGTCACACCTTTAGGGGTTGGATATCTGGAGCTTGTATCGTGTAAACATTTGGCCTCGAGGCTCTTTTTGCTGTTCAAGTGTCTGGTTTCATCATCTAAAGAGTCCTCTACAGCCTTCAGAAAAAACAAAGGTTGTGGATGTCTATGAATCCCACAAGAGACTTGAAAACACGTCCAGATTACTTAAATAAAACAATCATTCCACTGAGAGGAAATTCATCTACAAGTGGTGCAAATGTTGTCCAGGACTGCAAAAGACGTTTCCAAGAACCTAGAAGTGTAATCCAGGTATCAGCAGGTAACTCTGCAGCTGTACAAAGAGATTGCACAAATTGTCGAAATGCCAAGAACAAGCGTTTGCTGGCACACAGTCTGTCTGCTGGTGAACATATAGGCTAAGAGCAGGGGGCCGGCTTCACCGAGTCCAGCTTACGGTTCCCCTAAAACAAAATCAGCTCCACAAAACACCTTGAAGCCTTATTTCAGGTCTTGGTCTTATACTGAAAGAACCCTTAACATAAGACTTCAGCAACCAAAACAAAGAAAGACAAAAAAATGAAGGTACCTCTAAACACACCAGAGCTCATAAAACAAACGGGTTTAATTTTCCCACATCTGTTGTTTTCTCTTTGCTGTTATTTGTAATTTTGCATTTTAATGTGTTTCCTCCTCTGACCTATTTGGCCTTCTTGTCTTCTTTTCTTCCACATTTTCATGTATTTATTTTATATTTAATCACCTGCAGACCTACTTTGGTAACACAGATCAGCTCAGGTGAGGCATCACAAGCACGAGGAACCCAAACACATGGCAGCTACTGCAGGAAGGACATCTGATCCATCTGAACACTAATATTAATATCATTTGTAATATTACTTTCTCAATAGTTTGGGTGATACCAGTCTCAGTATGTCTACTCTCTGAACTTCATGTGTAACATCACTTTACTACTTCACTAACATTACCACTATCACTTCTCTGTTTTCTATTCTAGTCACACATGTTTTGTGGATGAACTTCTACCGGCTGTGAAGCAGGGCGCCGGTTCTGTGGTTCAGCCGGGCCCGGGCGGCTTGCAGTCATTGATTCAACTCTGACTTGTGCACCATATCAAAGAGTGCTTGAAGATAATGTGACACCGTCTGTGTGAAAATTGAAGTTGAAGCAGGATAATGATTCAAAGCACAGCAGCAGCTCAGCCAATGGATGCGTGAGACGGACGAAGCGGAGGGTCGCGGTCTGGACCGAGCCCTGATTTAAATCCCATTGAGATGCTGCGAGGAGATTTGAGGCAAACAGAACATGCAAGAACGAAACGTCTTGTAACTGGAAGAGAGGTCATCATTTCGGCTGATGTCAGAGTCTGGTGGGCAATTTTACAAAACACTTCTAATAATTGTTCCTGCTAAAGGAGCCTCTGATGCAGAATTATATCCCACCTATTGGTATTGTGTTGAATAAATACATAAAACAGTAAAATTTCTCTGCGGCTGTGTTCAAACACACTCGTCTATCTGTGCATCGAAGACAATAAAACGGTTGTTTGTCCAAATATGTCGACAAAAACAGTTTCCACGAGATGCGCTTAATTTTTCACATGACTGGAGGAGATTAGGGGAACGTTGGAATCGGTTTATGTTGCCTGGATGTGCTCAGACGTCCAACCTTATCGCTGTGTTCAGATAAAACAAACTGACAAAGCCGCTTCTTCTTGAATTAAGGAGAGCAGCCTTATCTCGAGAAAAAAAAAAAAAGGACGTTAGTGATTAAGTTTTAATGCATTTATACGTTCGTCCTCACACACGTTCTCTACATATACAGACAATTAACAGCTGCTTAGAAAGAGGAAACACTGCAAAGACTTAATGTGGTTTAAGTTCAAGCATCTTCTGCGTACATGTACACGTATGCGTCCACCGTGAAGGCGTTCTCAGAACATCAGCAAACATGCAGAAAGTTAGAAAGTGACCTGAGTTTAGAGCATGAATATGAAGATCTAAAATGTTTTCAAACCTGAATATGACATTATTACAATTAACAGCATTAGAACTGGTGAGTTGTTCGTTTCCAGGCCTGTGTTGTGTTTCTGGCCAGCGCTCCCTCTTCTTTTGGCCTTCACTCATGTCTGAGGGAAACGTCTGGCTCTCAAACCGCTAAATGCATCTCCGCTTTGGAGCTGCTCATTCTGTCTGCGTGCCATTTGCTGCTGAGCGTAGGTAGCGCATGGTGGATCTTCAGAGCTTTCTTTTCCCTGACAATAGCAGCTTGCTGTGTGCATAAACAACACTCTGAGAAAAGTGAAACGAAACAGAAAAGTTGCACCGAAAGATGCTGTAAAAGCGCCGCAGAGCCGACGGGACACGGCAGAGCAGGGCGATGGTTCGCTGCAGTTTAAATACACCACAACATTAAAACCTGTGGTAGCAAACAGCGATATCTGTTTACAGTGGCACCTGTGAGCGGTGGGATATGTTAGAGGGCAGGTGAAGCTGATGTGGTGGAAAGCAGGAGGAACCTGAGGGACTTCGACAATAATCAAACTGTTTGTTAGCTTCTCCCAAAAATGGTCTTTTGGAAGCACTGGAGTGAAAATGTAGAAGTTTTGCAACAGGATTTAGGTCAATTAGAGGAACAGCTAAATGAAAAAAATAATAAAATGCATGAATAATAACAGTGAGAACTCGTATAAGCGTTTGTGGCAGCAAGTCAGAAGCTTGTTGGATGTGTGAGTCGTGTGGGAGGGAATTAAAGCTCCGAGCACGCTATCTGGCTGTGGGATGTAATGTATGCATCAGCGCTTAATTTGATTTTCTACAGATTACGCTCTGTAAACGGGACCAATAACAGAACCTGTGTGTCCGTCTGATGCCGTGTTTTAGTTCACGTGGATGTAACAAACGCAGATGTGACACGAGGATATGAATCTTCCTCCAAGGTGAGAACTATCGGAAGTGACAGCTCTGACATCTTAATCCTACAGAATGATCATAACACAAAGCCGGAACAATTTATGGGGCTAGTTTGAAGGATAATATGTCAGTCGAGTCCTTGGTTGACAAAAATGATAAAAGAGGCGCTCTGCTGCGAATTACAAAGAACAACAACAGCATGTCACCTTCCCACGGCGCCGTTTATCTCCACCGCAGGTCAAGCACAGCAGAATGCATGTCGAGGGCTTTGCTTTTTGTCTTTTTGTGGGCTTTTTAAAGATGTTTTAAAGAATTCAGTGGTGGATTTTTATTTTATTATTCATTCCTGTGTCAAGAGTTGGCTTCTGGTAAAACTGTAAAAACTGTCGAATTTTGAAAGCAGCACGGGGAGGTTTGTGTTTATGAGCTCAGTCGGCTGCCGTGAAACCTGCAAGATAAAAGAAAGAAGCTGTTACACACACAAAAAACACAGACAAAAGAAAAGTGTTTCAGGACATGAGCCCACCTCTGCTTCCACCAGTAGTAACCTGCTCCACCGGCAGCTACAGCCAGGCCGACGAGGAAGAACACGATCCCCACCGCCAGCTTCGCACGTCTAACATCCACAGGGAAGGTGTCTGAATGAGAAGGTGGACATTTGAATCCGCTCACAGATCAAACAGAACGATTTTCTGATTCAGTTCCTCTCTAGACCCCAAAATCACATCCTGTAAAGTCACTGATGGAGGATGAAACAAGTCTGCAGGTCAAGCTTTGCCTGGAAAGTATCTCAAAAGACGACAAACAACCACAATGACAAACAAAACGACCAGAGAGACGCAAAGCAACCGCAAATAGATCCAAACTTAGACTCAGAGGAATGAAAAATGACCCAAATGAGACATGAACAACAAGAAAGAGACGCAAAAAAACTGCAGAGACGCACAAAAAGTCCCAAGAGAGACACAAAATCAACAAAAAGAGACGCAACACAACTGCAAAGACACACCCAACAACCGAAATGAGGGAAAAACCATCACAAAGACACGCAAACAACAAAGAAAAAGGTGCAAAAAGAACTGAAACAACACACAAAAGACACGCAAACAACAGCAAAACCACGCAAGCCAACGACAATAAGATCCAACACCAGCAAAGAAAATCAAAACGACTTAAATGAGACACAAAATCACCATAAAGAGGCGCAAACAACTGCAAAAACACACAGAACACCTTCAATGAGACACAAAATCAACACAGACGGATGCAAACAAATGTCAGGAGATGCAAATCAGTCAAACGACAACAGAAGGCACAAAACAAATGTAAAAAAAAAATGCAAAGTGCTAGAGATAAGGTATACTGGTGGAGACACAGCATTGTGTGGTTTGAGGCTGTTTTGTGTCTCTCCCAGTCTAGAAGTCTTTCACAGGTCTGTGTTCAGTGTTTTTTATAATCCAGCCATGTGCACAATGACATGATGGTAAACTTAAAGCATCATCTTAAAGCCAGTATTTGAGACAAAAGGTTGTTTTCAACATGTTTACAATCCCTCATACCATCTAAATGCTCGACATACTTCCGTCTCTGTGAGCTTCAGTAATCCATAATGTAAGAGTGAAACGTCCCCATAAGTGAATTATTTCAAACACATTCATCTTTAATGAGCAGCTGTCAAACTCTCTGATCCTCCAGCTTATCGTTATACAAAAACACATTCTTCAAAAGCTGCAGTGTTGTGCCAAACAGCTGACAGTGTTCAGTACGCTACGCTGTGTGGAGGAACCAGCTCCATAGACAGTCATGTGTGGGCTCAATATGAAGCTTTACACAAAGCTGATGATGCTAAATCACCGAACCAATCACCTGGTGGTGCAGCTTTACATTAAACAGAATGAGACAGACCTCGTCTCTAGATTATAGAATTAAATGAATAATAATATTGGAATTACAATTAATTTTAAATGCATAAAGTTTACAGAATCCATTCCTTAACATGAGCACACTGGATAACGAAGATGGAGGATCGTTTATAAAAAGGAAAGTCCACTATCACAAATTACTGCATAAAAGGCTCAAACTGGTCGATAAGAATGCACCAGAATGCAGGAAATAAAGTGTTGGATGCTCCATATTATCTGGAGGAGGACGCCCAGACCCCTGCTTCATGTGTCCTCGCCAACACTCAAACCTACGCCCGAGCATGAACGTGTCGTAATGTTCAGATTGTTCCAGGCTCTGCTCCTCCACCACCGTCCATACAGACACTGTCCAATCTGCAATAACTATGAGCCTCAACTCTGTGAATGTTCTTATGCAGCAACTTGCAGTTAAACCATCCATCCATCATCTCTACACCTTAATCCTCACCAGGGTGGTGGGGGGCGGAGCCTATCCCAGCTGACTCAGGGTGAAGGCAGGTCCACCTGGACAGGTAACCAGTCTATCACAGGGCTACACTTAGAGACAGACAACCAAGCACACTCACATTCACACCTACGGACAATTTACAATCACCAATTAACCTCAGCATGTTTGTGGACTGTGGGAGGAAGCCGGAGAACCCGGAGAGAACCCACGCTGCACGGGGAGAACATTCAATTCAATTCAATTCAATTCAGTTTTATTTGTATAGCGCATATTTACAACAACAGTCATCTCATAGCGCTTCACAAAGGCAGAGACAGAAACACCCAACAATCCAGAACATCTGGATTCCCTATAAGCTTCAGCAGTCCACAACAGTGGGAAGGAACCGAAAACCCCCACAGGGGAAAAAAAAACCTCAGACAGAACCAGGCTCAGGGAGGGACGGCCATCTGCCTCCACCGGTTGGGTGAGAGTGGGATGAATTATACAATTTAGTTTACAGTTAAACAAGTTATTAGAAACATGGAGACTCCACGCAGGAAGATCCCGGGTGTCCTCACCTGGACGCTAACCGGCGACCTTCTAGCTGTGAGGCCACGATGCTAACCACCGAGCCACCTGCATCTCCAGTTAAACCATGCTTGTGTAAAACAAAAAGAGACACTCATGTTCAGTGTGTGGTCTCTTACCCCACTCCACCTCCAGGCTCTCCTTCAGGCTGCTGTGGTCCACCCTGCAGCTCACCCTCTCCCCTCTCTTCAGCGTCAGCTCCAGGTACGAGTGAAACTGGAAGCTCCAGTCGCCGTTGGCCAGAACGTCTGAAGTAAAGACGTCGGTAGTGACCTCCTCCCCGTCTCTCAGCCAGCTCACCATCACTTCCTGGGGATAAAACCCCCAAACACTGCACTCCAGCGTGGACCGCTCCCCGTAGTCAGCCGGCTTGGTCTGACGGACCTTGACATTTGGAGGCACTGGAGTGTAAAAATGATTAAAGCAAAAAAAAAAAAAAAAAGAGCTAAATGAAGTTTGCTTCAAGGCAGAGTGCAGAGGAGAGAGTCACGGGTTAAACAGTTTCCTTCAAGTCATTTAATTAAAGAATGGAAAGAGAAAGATTGTTTCCTGTTTAATGAAGAAAATTAAGCCCATGAAGGCTGCTGGTGTGCATGTAATGCACCGCGTCAGGAGAACAGGCTGCATACCTTTTCTATCCAGTATGCTCTTTCTGAACAATCTTGCGTTGTATCTGCAAAGCGTCTCCACTTCCTGCTTTCTTAACTTCATTTTCCAGCTCTGGTTGTTATAGTGGTTTGCGTTTATCATGCCATACTCTCCAAAGCCGACGTACGTCCCAAGTCGAGAGTCGTAAATGTTATTAAGCTTCTGGTTAAACACGTTTTTCACGAAGTAGACGACGTCGGTGATGTCGTCACTGTACTCGCAGTCGGAAATCATCTGGTACACGTAGCCCCCTGGAACAGGAAGAAAACCAGTCAGCACAGAAAACTGCAGCAGCAAAATCAGTCATGTTTTACTGCACATCTGCTGAACAAACTCTGGTTCCGCCGCCAACACCAACTATTTGGCAAACAAATAAAACCCTTTTTGTTTTGCAACACTGGTTCCAACCCACACTTAGAAGTTAAACTAACTCTTGCTGATGTGATGTACATGTCATGTACACACAAGCAGCACCTGCCAGTAGAACGACAGCCCTGCAGTAGTTATTGGTGCTAACCAGTGCGATGTTGCTGGAGAGTTTGGGGAAAACCCAGTTCTCAGGTGCAGCTGCTTCTCTGACGTCTGTAGATTCAGACGCTGAAAACACACCTGATGAGGAAACACCTACATTACCTGACTGCCACCTGTTTGCAACCCGTATCCAGATGCAGCTGCAGAACTTTCATGGGCGTGTTTTGGGGTTAAGTTTATGGAGGATGTCAAGTTCTGTTGTGTTGCTCAAGGTCAGGTAATGGTTTCCACATGACCAATGCACACAGTTCTAATCCATCCATCCATCCGTCATCTCTACACCTTAATCCTCACCAGGGTAGAACCGTAGGTGGCACACGGTTCTAATCATACTACAATATTTACGTAGGGTCAGCTACACAGACGGTCCCGTTGTCCTTCATACCAAACACAGAAGAACACACAGAGCTCCTGGATGAGCTCACCCTCGTCACCATGACATATCCGGCTCTGTGTGACTACTTGTTTCCCTGAATCTCTACGAGGGATGTTGAGAGTGTAAAGTTAGCATGACCTATAGACACAATGGACACATAGATGATCCATTATTAACATCATACTATCCTTTAAAAAGGCATGAGCATGCCAGGTATTTGCTTCTGGTCACTATTACTGCTGAATTATGTGACACTGAACAAAAGTCTCCAAAATTAATGAGAGCAAATTCAGGATAATGCTTTTTTAATTAAAACAACAACAAACAGAGTGCATTGAATCAATCAGGGGAAAAAACCATGAGGGAAACTTCCTTTGCATTATAAGGTGTGTTTGTTTGGATGCCAAAAGGATCATCTGACCTCACAGGCTCTCAGATCCTCTAATGCTGCTGCTGCTGCTGCTGGACACAACCTGAGACGATGCAAAACTCTTCTTGGGTATTTACTAGATATTCCCAAAACTACTGCATGCCTGGATCATGTCTTTAACCAGACCATACACGCAGGGTGTTTTATGCATCTCCTTGTGATAACCAATCACTGAGCCTCCTCTCAGAGCGCCGCTGAAGATGCCTGATTCTCACTTTGAAAACCTCTGGATACAGTAAAAACAAGAATACATGACAAACCTACCTGCTGGTGCGCTGCAGAGTAAAACAGCAGCGACTGCAAGTTTGTTCATAAAACAAGGTCCCATTTTCTCTCTTAATCCTGGAAACATAAAGTTCGCCTCATAAAGCCTAAAACCAAAGTGCATCAGGTACAGTAAGTGGCAGAATGCAGAAGCAGCGCTGAGGTAAACCGGTGTTTCAGGTTGTGCCACAGATGTGTTTTTGTTTTCATGCCTGAAATTACTTGAAAGTTTCGACTCTGAAGCGCTGCAGGTACTCGCCCTGTGTATCACTGTTATTGTGCTGCTGAGCCACTTCTGGAGCCTCATTGCCATTCAGTCTGCTGCTCCATCACTGGAGCACAACTGCAGTCTTAATCTCACTCAGAGAGTCGGAGGAATCACTGGCTTCTCCTGAACACATGCTGCTGCTGCTGCTGCAAAATCAAAGCTGCAGCATTTTGGATTTTCAGACCTCAAATGTATTCGTCAGAAGCTCCACACACATCCATATTAAAATGTGGCAGCTATCTCATCCATCACCGTGGAGATAATTAGATTCAGGCCCCAGCCAAATAAATCCAACAGAGAACAGAGGCAGTTTGGAGCGCTGCCATTCGGTGCCGATACTGAAACAGGAGCGAGCAGACACGACAGGCATTATTTACTGATCAGTCGTGTCAGCCAGTCACTGCAGGAGCAGCGATCTGCCCAAAAGCTGCTGATAATTGATGGCGACTTTGTGCCAGCGATCACACAGACTGCTGTGATGAAGGGTTAATAAACACACGAGACAATGTAATACGATTGTCCTCTTTCATTTTAGGGTGTTTTGCATACAGGAACAGACATTTCTCACTTCCCTTCATGTGCCTCACGCGTTCACGACAAACACAATGAGCTGCAAACCCGTTACTGTGCAACAAGATGGAAAAACACGGTTAAAGTGCTTCGTTTTCTTTTATTTTTTGGGTAGAAAAGTAATTATATTCCACCTGAAGATGGAAGAAAATGTGTGAAATAATAATGATTCTGATTAGTATTCAAAAGAACTTCAGAAACAGGAGCTTCTACAGACAAAGCAAGATTACAAAAAACAACAGGTTAAAACAAGAAGACAAAAACCCGCAATAAGCAATAAAAAGGACAACATCACATAAAAGCAGGACTACGTTAAAGCAGTTACTGATGCTGCGAGCCTGATTTCCTCTGGCAGCTCGATCCAAAGCTGAGGGGTCCTGAAGGCAAAACCTTGGTCACCTTTAGATTTAAACCTTGACTTTTGAAAGAGGATCTCAGGCTGCGAGCCGGCTCATGTAAGGTCAACGTCTCTGCCATCTAGCTGGAGACGTGCTTCAAACGTGAAAGTAAAATCCTAAAATCAATTCTGAAACAAGCCGAGCTGCTCCACTCTGAACCAGAAAGAGTGACTTCAGGTCGACCTGTATGAGCTGATGAGTTCAAGAGCAGCGCGTAAAAGCAAATATATCGACAGGAAGTGGAGCAACAGATGAGTCTGGACACCACCGATGTGTCGCTATGAGGCAGCAGCAGGACACACAGGAACAGTCATCTCTAAGCTAACGAACACATCATTTAGTATGATCAGCAAGAAAAATATAAAAAAGGGTTTAAAGAGGGGTTCAGAGTGGGCACTGTGTTGGTGGGAGTTTAAGGTACAACATGTGATCCAAGAGTTTGAATAGCAAATCCATAGAATTGCAGATCTGTCAGACATGAACAGGCCACAGGTTCTGGTGGAGTTCTGAGGTACTTCACAGGAGTATTTCCATTTAATACTACTTCATACTTCCATTCCTCTACACTAACCCATTAACTGCTTTGTTCTGAGGACAACCACCCACTCAGCCCGTTCCATCGGTGTCTCAGCTGTTAAACCGTCACAAAATCACAAATCTAAGGCACAAACCAACCAAAGTACAAAACTTATACGAGGCAAACGTTTGCATGTAAATGAGCTTCTGTAACACACACAGAGTCCATGTTGCTCACAATATAAACACAAAACCATCCTATTTACTCCACAGCTTTCTGACCCAGCAGTACCATCTCGGCTCTTTCCCTTTAACATGGGTCCATTCCAAACCCAGCAGCCCGGTCCATCCAGCGGATCAGCTGCTGGCTCCACCTGGATCTTCAGGCAAACTTTCGGCTCCACTAGATTCATCTGACAGCTTTATTTAGACATTTCTTTTTTTTTTTCCAAACAGTGGCTAAAATCACAAGCTTTTAAAATACAACACACGGTTAAACCAGCTGGTTCTGACCGGTTTGTCTTCTTACAGAACTCAGTGTTAAAAGCAAACAGGGATTTGGTTTCATTTCAACGATCTGATATCAAACCAAAAAACCCAAAGATTAGGGAAAGAGTGAAAACAGGTTCCTGTATCTGAACTTTTCCTCTTTTCTCTTCATTAATCATGTTTGGAGGCCTCAGACGTACCTGCTGGATATTAAACTGGATATAAAACTGGATATAAAGCAGTTTAAAGCTGCTCCACCTGCAGCAACAGAAACAAGCTGCTGGAACACTGATGCTTCACTGTTAATAATCTGATGATGTCATATTTAATAATACATCAGTTTGAGGTACGTTAATGCTTTTCCACATTGAGCAGCCAATAGTTTCACTTACTGGGATTTTCATGTTTATCAGTTGAGTATTTTTACTAAGGATCACAATCTTGTTTATAACTTCAGGAAGTTGCCATGGCAGCTCAGATTGTGAAGGAAAGAGAAGAAAAACAGTGTTCACGCTGCAAAATAAGTGTTTTTATGAATCCCATTGTGCCAGTCCTGCCTTTATGAAATAAATAAAGCAGCCGTGTTTTGTCACAAAGGACTCAATTAGGTCTGAATGCAGCCTCAAAGGTGCGCGCAGGTGGATTGTGTTACTTGTGTTGTGTTGGAGATAACCGGGCCGGTTGTTTTCCTCTGTTTCCTCTCTTTATGCTAAGCTAAGCTAAGCTAAGCTAAGCGTCTCCTGAGTGTGGATTCAGGATTGAAGCTCAGGTTCAGTGCTGTTGGAGTAAAGGTTGGTGTAATAAAAAACTAAAGCTAAGACGGGGAAACAAAGGAGTCTCTCATTTCACGCCCAGCGGAAGAAAAAAAAAAAACACAGAAGGGCAACAAGAAAGAAAAGTCACAGATCTGACATCAGAATTCAGCTGCTGACGCCGGCTGCGTCTGGAGAGGCCTGTTGGCTTTCCTGATGAACCCGAGTCCTGTGAAGAGTCCAATCAGGCCCAGCACCACGCCGCAGACACACACCGCCGTCTCCACAACCTGCCGGTCTGCAGGTCCTTCAACCTCTGTGAAAACACACACAGACACACAGACAGACGGACGGACGGAGCGTGAGAAGGTCTGAAGGCTGATGCCAGTCCTCGGTTCTAGTGCAGCTGCCTGAAGCCAACACGTTGTGCCAGCAGCATCCTGCCAACTATACATCACTGACTTCTAAGATTCTGTTTCTCTGACAGCTTTCTGTTCGTAGCTTTTTGTGCATCTTACTGGTTCTAAGCTGAACATTTATCTGACATATGGACCATATATTGTGCAAAACAGGATGTAGAGTTGGAAACTTTCCCTCCTGATTGTTTATGATAGCACAATGTTTTTCAGTTTTTTTTTTTCTGTATTGCAAGTTTTTCAAAAAAGTCTGTTTAAATATGCAAATGAGGTATTATATGTCCAAAGAAATGCCCTCATTTGCATTAATTTCCAGAACAGGAATCTTAACGTTGAATACATGTAGTTTTATTGACATATTAGAGTCAAATGTTTGTTTGGTTTTTTTCCTTCCATAAATTAGAAAACTACGGAGCCCCAGAAGGGACACGGAGTAAGAAAAAAAACAGGGAGAGGAAAAAAGAAAAAATAGAGGTATGTTTTCTGTGATCTTGCAAAACTTTTTCAGGCTCTCGCAATAACTTTTGTGAGATCTCACAAAGCTACAGGTAACTCCAGTCCGGTTGGTGGTGGGGATGCATCTGAACGCTGGATGGCAACCTCCACATCAATAGAAGAAGAAGAAGAAGACTATAGGTATATACGTCAGGGTCTTTTTGGCAGGAGAAACGACAATGGAGGACACCCAACCGTACGAGAGTTTTATTGAGTTTTATTTTGAAATCAGCCTAAAATATTAAGACATTCAAGCAGCGCTCAGCAAGAGGCACAGTCCAAAAAGATTGATGTGACTTTCGTGAAATCTCGCAAAAGTTTTTGCAAAACTTTTCAGAGATCTCGCAGAAGATACCTCTATTTTTTTTTTTCCTCTCCCTGTTTGTTTTCTTTCTTCTTGTCCCTTCTGGGGCTCCATAGAAAACACAGTCAATACAGGAAGCTTTATAAATAAAATGTTGTATAAATGAGGCTGACTGGTATTTAAAATAAATATATATGTAAAAACCCTCAAACTATAGAGAAACAATGAACTGCAAAGTGATTTCCACCTCGACAGCCAGCTGTATGTACATGTAGATTTTAATCTTAATACGTATTTGTAAAAAGCTGTTTTCCTCTGAAGTCTCGTCTGTTTGTGGTACCAACATGTGCTGTGAAGCTCAGACCCTGACAGATCTGTTCTTTAAATAAAGCAGAGCGCCCACTCACACCTGGTTGTCATTCCACCGACTGAAAACACCTGAGTCTGATTACACCTTCAAAGCGGCTGATAATCCTGGACCAGAACATATTTGTGCCACTCGCAGATGTGTAACACTGACTCGCTTGTTTAACTGAGTTTTACTTTAGGACCTGTGATGATGATTACGGTCATATCTCAGGAGGAATGTAGACGATTCTGTCCAGCCATCATATTTAACAACCTTCACTCTTGAGTTCTCCGGTTTCATTCTGTCTCCTCATATTCTGGCTGACTTACCCCAGAATCGAGTGAGAGGCATCTGCAGGCTGATGTGGGCCACGCTGCAGGAGTAGATGTCGCCCTCCTGCGGCGTGAAGTTCAGGTAGGACGTGATGCGGAAGCTGAAGTCGCTGTTGGAGTAGTACTGGGTCTGGCTGACCTCGCTCTGGTCCACCAGCCGGCCGTTCCTGGTCCAGGTGATGTGGACCTCCGGCGGGTGGAGGTCGTTGACGAAGCAGAGGAGAGTGTTGGGCACCCCGAGCTCCATCTCCTGCTTCGGGTAGATGTGGGAGGAAGGGATGGCTGCGGACGACGGATGTTTGACAGAAATGTGATTGAATTTTAAATATCTTGAAAACGAGGACTGTAGCAGCGTCAATGGAAGAGTTCACACAAGATCAACGAGTCACCAGTGTTTTATTTGAGCCCAGTTCATCTACAACAAACTTCCCATGAATTATTCCCACAAAGCTGCACAATTTTGTCTTTTAATTCTACAGTAAAGGTGAGTGAAGGTGAGTGAAGGTGAAGGCCCGTGTTGACAGCTCTCGCCTGTTCCAGATTGTCTAAACCAGGAGGAAACATCAGCGTGGTGGAACAATTAATGGCAGCGAGAGTCACCTTCACCTGCACCGACAGCAGACGTGTGATAATACATCCAGAGAGGTTAATTGCAGATTATTTTCCTGCTGCTACCTGCTCTTCTCTCCTCATTAGCGTCCCTTTAATGACGCAGCTTCCTGGTGGCCTGGTTTTGTTCTTGGGGGTCGATTGCTTCTGGTTTTCTAAAGATGAAGCCCGGAGCACGACTTCAGGATGTTCACTGATGTTATTAGTGTTTGTTTGGAGCTTCAAAGCCTCAGATGGGGATCTTCTGATCATTCCTAAGTCCTGCTTCAAAATTGTAGACAGCAGGGGGCAGTAATGGAGTAAATGTACTCGAGTACCATGATTTTAGGATATATTCTCTTTGAAGTAATTCAGTTCTACGGTACTTTATACTTCTACTGCACTACATTTATGTGGCGGCTTGAGTTACTAGTTTCTTTGTGTATCAACTCATCGAATTCAGCCTCATATTTAAATATATTTTATTTATTTAAATATATTTTGTTTATTTAAATATATTTTTGGGGCTTTTCCTGTTATTTAGAGCAGCAGAGAGAGACAGGAAAGAGGGAGAAGAACGGGGAGAGAGCTGCAGCAGAGGGTCGTGAGCGGGAGTCGAACCAACAGTCGCCCGCTCAGCCAGGTACGGTATGGAGCGCCCCCTGTGGGCTCATTTTTAACTGCAATACAAACCCCTGCATGTCTTCCCAAGTGCCTACAAGTCCTGCCAACATCAAGGGAACAACGGAGGGCTCCACATGCCATAGATAGGTTGTTTGACTCGGCCTATGTTTTTACAGTCTGAACACACTCGGCTGTAGAAAGCTGTTTCACCATGCTGAGCGTGTCCTCCAACAACCTGCTCCTCTGTGTGCAGTGTTTGAGCTGCGGTGCATTTATTTTATGGATCAAGTACGTTTGATTTCAGTCTACACTTGCTTCCCATCCACTCTGGTTTTGCCGTTTCCATAGAGGTTGCAGGACGTTTTATTATCATGAAAAACAAGCAGACAGAGAATCAAAACGTGTCCAGAGTGTGCTCTGGGTTTCAGACGGTTAAAGAAGAGAAGCTTCCTCACCTATGACCTCTGGAGGACTCTTCTCTCCCTTTATGGCGCGGGGGATGTTGTAGTAGCAGGTACCCAGGGACACATAGGCGTCCTCGGCCAGACCAGGATCAGGGCTCCACTGCTGCTCAAACTCCGGCAGACGGGGGTACGTCAGGTAGACGACCGGGTCGACGTAGAGGAGCTGGTCGCCGTCAGATTCAATATCGTACTGCCCGTCTCCCGGCGCGACCCTCTGACAGAAGGTCATGAAGCGAAGCAGGTGTTTACCTGCAGGAAGGACGCGACATGCAGGTGTTGGCAGTTTGCAGTGAAGCTGTCTGAAGCAGCTTTTGTGAGTAATATGGTGTCTGTGATATGCTCGAGCTAAATATGGCCTGAAATCTCAAATAATGAGGCGCGTTAACACCATCCAAGCTGTTCCAAAAAATGTTTGGCTGCACTGTTTCTTGGCTCCGTCAGTCACTGGCAGGTAACCAACTATGGCTCCTATTGTAAAAATGTAGCTGGTTGGAGGAATAAACAGCAACATGGTCGAACACAGGAGCATTCGGCCTCCTTTATACACTAGTTACAGCAGGGGTGTCCAATCCTGGTCCTGGAGGGCCACAGTCCTGCATGTTCTAGATGTTTCCTTCTTCCAACACACGTGATTCAAATGATCAGCTCATCATCAAGCTCTGCAGAAACCTGATAACCATCCTGATCATTTGAATATAATAACATCTAAAACATGCAGGATTGTGGCCCTCCAGGACCAGGATTGGACACCCCTGAGTTATAGTAGACTGCTGAAGAACATGTACCCAGTTCAGTCCCTAAGTGTCATGTGTACGCACTTTAAGGCCATCTTCAGCAGAATTAGAACTGTATCAATCATAAATTCCCCTTTAAATAAAAGCTCCAGATATATGTATATATGTTTTTTTTTGTTTTTTTTTAAGAAAAAAGTTTTTAAAGAAAAAAAACTTTACCTTGACTGCATTTTGGAAGCCAAATAAGCAAAAGCAGCGAGAACAGCTTCATCGTCGTTCGCGTTTCACTTCCTCCAAACGCCGAGCTGAGCAGGTTTCTCTGCCGGGCACCACTTGATCTGAGAAAACTTCCTCATTAAACACACCAGCCACAGCCTGTAATTCAGTATTTCCACACTAAAAACTATGAAGTGTGCAGCTCTGACTTCAACACAAATACCTGCTGCCACCTGCTGGGCTGAAGCGGTCATCACAGCATGTGGAGGAAACTCACACATCACACTGAATACCTCATTAATCACAGATAAGGTGAAACCAGAGCTCCTAGCTGCCATTAATGCTCTGTGGTAGCTTTAAAGCAATGATTTTAAATCAAAATTTAAAAAACGTACAGATAATAGTTTAGTTTTTCAAATGGCAAATAAAAGCAGGGAAATAAAAAAGGCCGTCACAGTTCCTCTACGCCAGACGTGTTGTTTCTGAATCACTATTGTCCAGTCAGCTGCTAAAATATTTGAAATCACGCTACAAAAATGTGAGGATTTATATACATTCATATATTTCTCATCTTCTCACATTTGAAAAGCTGGAACTGCAGAATTAACTGATTTGGAAGTTTAGTGAACAAACTGTTCGATAAGTGAAGAAAACAGGCGTCACCGTTTTACTGAGGTTTCTGTGTGCAAATCATTTGTGCCAAACTCTGTTAAAATATTCAAATTAAATATTTAAAAAGCAGCAAATCTTTACATTTGAGAAGCTGGAACCACAGAGTTACCGGCTTATTCAGTCTAAACGTCAGATAAAACCAAGGAACAGGCCAACAGGACGTCTCTCAGACAGCGCTGCTGCTCTCAGGACGCTGAAGCTGCTTCTCAACCAACCGTTGAACTTGTAAAATCGAAATTCTTTAAAAAGCACAAATCTTCACACAGAAAACGCTGGAAACAGGAAACAGTCGTCCTGGAGCTTGGGTTGGTTCCACACTGCTATTGTGAAGCAAACACTTAAAATGTTCAAATTAAAGTAAACACATCACATTCTGAATTAACACATTATTCAGTAGTTCAGTCAATAAAATGTCAGAATAAATGTTGGAAAACGAGGCAAACGACTTCTCCAAGCGAGAGCTATCGTTTGTTTTGACCAACCTACAGTTGATTTATTCAAATCCAGTATTAACTGGTTAAAATATCAGATGAAACTGAGGAAAACATCCACTATAAACCACTTAATCCTCACTAGGGTCATGGTGGGCAGAGTCTATCCCAGCTGACTCAGGGTGAAGGCAGGTTCACCTGGACAGGTAACCAGTCTATCACAGGGCTACACTTAGAGACAGACAACCAAGCACACTCACATTCACACCTACGGACAATTTACAATCACCAATTAACCTCAGCATGTTTCTGGACTGTGGGAGGAAGCCGGAGAACCCGGAGAGAACCCACGCTGCACGGGGAGAACATGGAGACTCCACGCAGGAAGATCCCGGGTGTCCTCACCTGGACGCCAACCGGCGACCTTCTAGCTGTGAGGCCACGGTGTTGACCACTGAGACACCTTGCAGGAAAACCGGCCATCGCAAATTAAGAGTTTAAAGAAAAAGGCAACAAATCTTCACGTATGAAAGCCTGAAAGTGGGAAACGTGGGCCATCACGTGTTCTGTCCAAACATCTGAGCTGGAGCCGCACAACGTTTTTGAGTTAGAAATGATTTAAATAAATGACCAACAACCAAACTGTCAAATGGCCGGAAAACTTCAGCAACGCATCCAAAGTTTTTAAACATAAAGTCGACACGTCAGACCCAGACAGCCACACGGTTCTCCAGTTTGTTCTACATAAGAGATTATTTTAATAAACACAGCTGTCGAATGGGCAGGACGCTCCCGAGAGGCAGCGAGCTGCTCGACCAGAGGCAGCGATGCTCGTGTGAACGCTCTCCAGGAAACAACTAAGACAGTTAACTGGAATGAAAGGTAACATGTAAAAAAAAAAAAAAAAACAATAAAAAAACCTAAAAACCAGAAACCAGGGAGCTGAGAAGAAGGAGACTGAACAGCAGAAGTACAACAGTTTGTGCAACAGCAAATACAGTTGAAGTATATACAAGCATGTCTTTCACTGAACATTCAGCAGCTTCCACTAAAGCATCCACCACGAGGACCCTCCGCTCGCGTTCACGGGAAACGTGTCGCGTTCTGAGCTTCAGTTTGTTCCTGTGAGCGCCGAGCAGCCCAAAGGCTTCTTGGAGAAACCTCCGCTGAGTTTTCAAGTGTCTTCGAGGATGCAACGCTTCGGATGTTCAGGAGGTTAGCGTGGACGTCAGAAACCTGCACAATAATCTGGTCACATTCAGCAGCCTGGGTTCAGCTCAGATGGAGGTAACGGAGAACAACATCAAAGCCGGTTTAAGTAGATTTCAGAATACTGAGAACAGTATTTCCATTAGTGTTTATAGGATGAGTCAGTCTTAAAGTGGCTGGGGGGCTTTTAGCAGAACAGTGCAGCCACGAGATCAGAACAAACCGAACCAAGAAGGAACTTAACTGCTAAACTCTGTGATGACAGTGTGGTAAACTCTATACTGCACTATAAACCCACCTTGTTGTCAATAACTACAGGCTCTAAAAAAGACTGCAGCAAACTGAGAAGAAGAAGAAGAAGAAGAAGAAGAAGTTGTGTAAACATAACAGAGCAGTGATCAAGAGCTCAAACTGTAACCAGCGTCAGATATCGACCTGAACATGGCAGGTACCGTACTTTCAAACATCCTGTGAACGTGAGAAGGAATCTTCGATCTGAAACACTGGATCCCTCCAGTTACCACCAACAATCAGGATCATTAAGGCTGAGTCTAGGGGTTCGTCTAAAATCAAGTGTGGCAGAAGGCCAGATGTTAGAAAAGCAAGGCTCGTGACCAAAAAGGTTGCTGGTTCAAATTCCAGTAACGTCTGAGGAGATGTGGGTGAAGAAAACAAATAACACTCTTCCATTCCTTCGCCAGAGGACACAGCTTAAGGCCAGCCAAAGCAGATTTGGAGTAAGGCCCGTCTCTCCACATCCTTTTTTTATTACTCCACTTCCCTCTTTGGGGGATCACCATAAAAATCTTCTTTATAAAAGAAACATAAATTTGTACAAGTATTTACAAAAGGGAGGGAAGGGGAAACCAAGGCATTTAGTGTTTGGGCTCTACGATTATCCACGGAGACGCTTCTTCACGTCCCTCAGTCCCACATTCAATATTATAGGAGTCCACTTGGAGTGTTTTTTTTGCCGCGGTGTCTAATATCTCAGCCAACTACTGTTTCAGGGTTTGATGTGTCCTGGGCCAGCCCAAGTCCCTGAGTTATTAGTATTTTGCTTCTTGGCCTTTTGCTAACAATCTCAACTGGAGTCTGAATCACTGGTGTCTGAGGAGGAGGACGAGGAGGAGGAGGAAGAGGAGTCTGAGCTGGAGCTGCTGCCGCTGAGGCGCGAGGGCTGGGCGTGAGTCTCCACGGCGCTGGGCTTCTCCACTGAGGACAGAGCAGCGAGACACACAACATTAAATCAGTCTTATGGCTACACCTGGTTGAGCCGCAGCTTTTCTCAGTCGCTTTGGCACATCAGTCCAAATAGTGTATGCAGCTACAGACGATTCATACTCTCCTTCTGCAAGCAGTCCAGGGATGGAATATGTGAGCTGCTCTAATGTAAACTCTGATTATTTATTAGGATTATTCATTGACTTTAAGGGGTATTGTTCCTTCCTATCAGTCCTGTCTTTTCACAAGAACACATGGAAGTCACAGTCTCCAATCTATGGAGACTCTGCAGTTTGTCGTCCCCAAAGTACGACCTGAACCGGGCAAGAAAGCATTTCGGTTTTCTGCACTTGATGCTTGGAATAAAGTACAATCTCAACTTCAAGCCCTTGTTACACTAAATTAGTTTAAAGTTCAGGCAATGTACATGAAAAGCTATGAACACACACTTCCAAGTCCAACAAAACAGTTGGTCATTGTGGACACTGGCAGCTTCAACTACGATCAGGCAGCAGCTTTAACAGCATCATGTCCCAGACTGTGGCGTCGCCCCATGACAGCGTTTTACTGCATGAAAACTGTAAAACATCTGGAAGACAACTACCAAATGAAGAGCTGTTTTCTCCATGCAGAGCTCACCTTTAGGTTTCGTAGGCTTCTTGACCGAGTTGAGTTGTCCGCTGACGTCCTGCAGCCTCCTCTCCAGCTCCCTCCTCTTCTCCAGGGTCAGTTCTTCTTTAGATTTGCCAACGCTGCCTTTCTTTGCAGCTGCTGATGACAAGATAGCAGCAAAGTTGTTATAGACAGTCACACAGTGATTGTGTATTAGCTTAAACGAGTTAGCGTTTGGGATATTTCTGAGAGCAGAGTGGTCTTGGATCATCAGGTCATGATTATTGGCCTTCTCGAGGTTACGTGGTCGATCAAAAACCTGTCGTGGGACGTAGCCGTATGATGTACAGTCAAGCTTACAGTGCATTAGATCAGTAACACACATCAGTCCAAACACGCGGCTTGACCTCCAAGGTCTGTTGACTCTTGTTAAAAAGGAAAAATGACTTTATAGCTCACCAAATGAATCATTAATTACAACAGGAATAAAGGTAATAACGGTTGCTAGTAAATTCTTATGTGGAAAATGTCCTACAACAGACAAACTTCTCTGACACATCGTAGATTAAATGCATCCACGTCCCTGTGTCGGCTCCGAGGAGCTCATCCAGCAGCGTTCATTCAGGGGGAAACTATCCCTTCAGGAACTTGGACACACGGAGGGCAGAGACAAATAAAATATGTGACTGCTTGAGGAAACTGAATTACATGGCTGTCAGTTTGTGTAATCCCCTGTTACGTCTTTATTTCTCCTGTCAGAGAATATCGTCACAAGTGTAGAGCTGCTGCTGCTGCTACAGGATGGCTGGTCTGGGATCAGTGTTTCTCTACATGTAGCACACAAGCTGCACAAGTCAAACTGCTGGCTGTCACTGACTTGCAATGCTCAGCTTGAAAACTGGACTATTCACTGTAATTTCCATGTATGCTGA